ACAGTGGGGCATGGAAAATTATCCCCAGCTGTTAATGCAATTATCGCCCCGCAGAAAAGTGCGACAATGTGCAATGAATTGCAGTAAACTGTAAATTACGCCTGTTAGATAATTCAATTTTCCCATAGGGGAGCGAGTGTTAATTTGTATGAAATTCGATGCAGATGCACTTACTCAATTTTGAAAATAAATGATGGTTTTTAAGTGGTTTTCCTGTATGTTATAAATATTTTTTGGTTGTCACCCTGCGATGATTAAAAAAAATTTTGTTACTCACTTATGATTGTAGTATAAAATTGAACCTGTTTAATCATAAGTTTTTGTAACTCAGAGTTAGTCAAACGATCAGACATTGCAATAACAAGTATTCATGAGTTACAAGGCGCCTTTAGCATTAAACTTGCCACTTGGCAACATTGTTAATTGGCTAACCCACAAATTCAACAAAGGGTAACCAACGATCGACCTTGAAGATGGCCACCGTACATCATCAGATAGAGTTCGTGGTGTAACCGATTTCCATATTCAATGCGATTCGGCACACTGTGACTACGACTTACACTCCAACTGGGGGCCGGATGACGAGATCGCCATTAACTATAGGCAACCCGACTGCGATGAAGATGGAGGAAAACAAGACAATTCGACTGTCGACGGCTTGCCGCGGTTGAAAAGTCAAAGTCAAATGCAAGACATAATACAATAAAACAATCGCAACTACAAGAAACAAGAGCAACCACGGCGGACGAACAGTAATCGCAGAAAGGAAAACAAGTTTTCACTTTTATATTTTTAAGTTACTCGGGTTGCCTCCCCTCGATGGTGGGGGTATTCATTTCCAAACGCGATTCAATTGCATTTGGCTCTTGCCTTCGTTGTTGTTGTTTGTGTTGTTTTAGTTGTTGTTGTTGGTTGTCGCTTGGGCAAATTGTGGTCATAATGATGAATTGCATAAGCCGGAATCGTAATTGCAATCAGTGAGTGACTACGACCGCTTCAGTTGCTCATCCGCTTTTGGTCATACAGTCAAACTTTCCCAAGCCGAACTGTTCGAGTTCAAAAGATTATTTTCTACCTACTTATAGTTTATAATTCCCAAAGAGATTTCTGGTGTAAACCAAGCTTTCTGCAACTCAAGTTTTAGATAAGTATGTTATGTTTATAAGTGGAGTCACTTGGCAAGCTTCCCTGTGTTCGATACTCGCATAGATCAGCCGAAAAACCGGATCCCCAGTCTCCTTATCTCTGGCTCCCCTTTTCCTTCGCAGATTTTCGCAGGAGTTGTGTCTTTTTTTCGGGGAGCTCGCTTATCGGGCTCGCAAAATGCGCGTACTCAAAAATCTCCACGCAAAACATGACCATATAAGGAGTCGCATGGCAACACGAATAAAACAAAACATCAACGAAACGTACACAAATGGCTATTTGTGGCTTAGCAAAACAACAACACCAAGTGCGATGATTACGTATCAAGCACATGGCCGACGCCCCTCCTTATTTGCACCCTCCGCCATACAATTACCGCCCCTCCCCCCCAAACAGTCAAAAAACTTTTCATTCATTCACCCAGCGCCTGCTTGCTCCCATTTTACCCTATATGTTGAGGATATATCCACTGACTCGCAGACTTGGCTAAGAACTTTTTTATATGTCAACAACCTTTGGTCGTATAATCTTTATCAATAAGATAAGATGGAAATAAGAAAACTGTGAGGTAATAGCTAGGTGAATTCCATAAATAAAGTTCTATTTTTTCATTTAGATAACTCTATGCGTTAGAGAAGTCCAATAGCACTTTATAAAACTATTATTTGTAATATTGTCATAGTATAATTATAAATTGTGTCGTTGAGCAATAAAACTAGAACTGAATTTTAATCATTCATTTATCAGCTCTAAACTTTAATTATAATAATTTTATTTAGAGTATACGCGAATTGGCTTGGACCAATTTCCTCTGTTCTTTTCCCATGTTGATAGCTATATTGTTTGACCTTGCTGCCTACTTTTTGTTTATTTTTTTTTGCAAATCTAATCCGAATGGGAAGTGAATACCAGAAATGGGAATGTTCTTTCAATTGGTATTTACATGTTATGCTATGTAGTTGACCTAATCGTAATTTGAGAAAAACAATTTAAAGCGCAAAAAAGAATTATCTGCTACAATGGCGATAAATTTAAAGCTTGTTTTTTCATGGCTTGTGCATGGCAATGAATTTGTTTGTATAATATAGAAATGGTTTAATCAGTTAAATGGTGTGGGGTGCTGTATTATCCAAGTCTTTTAAAGCCATCTGTGCAAAATTTAAAGCATCCAACATCTGCTGGGATTGGCGTTTCCTGCAAATATGCTTCTTCATTAAAAAATTTTGATGTGTCAGGGGCTTTAAATGGTCCATCAATCAAGCTAAGATTAATAGCATGCAATCGCGGTTAATACTTTTTTTTTGTTAGGTGTCTGAGCTCATCAGTGACAATTTATCAATCATTAACCCAACCCAAATGTCCAACCATGTGATGAAGAGGAGGGTTAATAATGCAAAGAGGACAAAAAATATACAGTAATTAGAAATTCATAGATAAAAATCAACTGAAATATGAAGCCCTATATAAACGAACATATAATTTAAACATGAGTTGATATACCAAAAACCCACTGAGCGAGTGAGAAAGGAAGAGAGAGGGGGAAGAGGGACCAAAAGGGCTCTGGATCCACATACCATCCCCCCAATGCGTGTGAGTGAGACAGCACCCATGGACATGCTAATCACGAACACAACGAAACGATATGAACAAAACAAAAACCGAAAAAGAACGAGAGAGACCCACAAATAAAACCCGATTCGACAAAAATCCACCGCCTGCTGGAAATTCTCGGCGCCTGTTCAAATAAGTTTCAAATTTTGACAAATAAAACCATGGTTTTGTAATTTACGAGCATTCCGAGCTATTTTCATAATGATTGAGCGCGAGTTGAGTGGAGTGTTTGCAGTTCTCGATTCTCGACTTCTCGAGTTCTCGGGTCCCAGTTCCCAGGGGAGTGAAATAAAAAACAAAATAAGGACCTCTTCATGTCTCTTATTTATTCTGCTTCTCTTTCTGTCTCCAGACTCACGAGCCGTGCAATAAAACGGGATTATGTACGAGTGTGTTTTCGGTGTCTACTGTTTGTTTTTATATAGCCAGATACAGTAGGTATTCCATAAGTTTGCACCCAAATATACAATGTACAAATACTTTTCGGTTTTGTTGATTAATAACATTTATAAAAAATAAATTTTTAACAAAAATGAATCTCTCACAATTCTAAAGTTTCGAAATCTAAAAATCCCTTAGGCCCAGATTGGTATTCGACTTGCACAATCTCTACTGTGGGTAGGGAGCCCTTTTTTAACCAGTTGGTAGGGACAGGAGGTATCCTCAAGTTTGGATTGGTAGAAGGGGTGGCTGTTTGGTGCCTAAAGAAGCTGCAGCCGACGGACGGAATGTGTCTAGACGTTTGATTACCGGGACAGACGCAGACGCAGATGCCGCGAGGTCGTGGCACAGTGGACTCAAACCGAAGTCTAAGCTGGGCTCTAATCGTAATTGCCCCCGATTTTTATGCCACTTTATTGGTTTTTCGGGCTTGGCCTCACTCGAGCTGACATTAAGTGTTTGCTTATCAGCTTTTTCCCGTTCCCATGCGGTCAGTTTCAATGTCTGTTGGTCTTGTCATCGATGACACAGTGGTGTGAACCAGATAATGGGATAAGTGCGAAAATGGGTGGGTAATTAGGCTGGGAATTTATGACACCACGTCCGACGACGATTAGGCAATACAAACCCCATATTAATGTGTCTCTGGAGAGCTACGAATCCGGTTTGCATTGTTTATACTTAACCAACAAAACAGGGTTTCAAAGAACAATACAAAGTAGCAATGCAAAAACAAACCAAAAATCAACATAACAATTTTCTGTTTTTAAAAAGAATTTCTTCCATTTCAGACAATATCCTTTTCGTCCCTCCGAAATAAATTTTGTTCATATTATTAGATTAGAAATTTCCCTTATTAAAAAGATCTCCGCGTAAAAAGAAATCTACTAAGACAAAAGAAGATTCTGCTAATCGGGTAATACATGACATCCGGTTTATAGCGTTAAGTAACGAAGATTATTAGAAAACAAGGATCTACGGTAACCAATCAGGTTTAAGGATTACGACATCAAGCCGGTTTAAAAAACCCGGTTCTGGACCAAATGCTCAAATCGCATTCCTGAATTCGCCACACTCTATCGGTTTTGGGTTCTCGATTCTCAAGGTAACTTAATGCCAAACAATTCCCGTGACAGGAAAGAAGGCACGTAATCTTGTTCGGGGTTGTTAGCAATCGGAATCCGGCTCTTTTCTACCTGACTTAATACGACATTTGCGCATATTATTCGAATCGCCGCTTTTTTCCCATTTCGTCACAGAGCATTAATCAGCATTGTGTTACCCTTTTGTTTTATTGTGCGCATTTCAAAAACCATATTTTACCTTGGAAAAATATCTTGAAATTGCCTAATAATGATTGCAAGTTATGGTAAGGGGTTGATAACAGTCTTTGCTTTATAAATCCAATAAAAAACAGTGACTTCATTAAATATCTTTCCTCATTAATTTATGTAAATTGTAATTTATACTGATTTCTAAAAATAAAATACACTCATCTCCTAACAATCGGATCTAATGCTTTTTGTATTTTTATTTCGTTTGCACTTTTGAGGACTATGACAACCACTGTGTCTCAAAAATCAAGGACTCTCGATGGTTGAGCTAAATTTTTTGCACATTTGCGGGTTACTTTTTGCACAAAGGTCAAAAAGGCGCAAATCAAAAGGCGAGCCTTTGAACGGGGGGCCTTGACTTTTGCACTTTTGCCAAATGTTTGCAGCAGGACATTCACCAAAACGGACGAAGGACAAACATGCGAATTAAAAAGATAAAGCAAAATACCGAAAGACAGACCAACTCACCACGAATGCCACAAGAGCCTGTTTGAAAAGTGTGTGGTGAGTATCCCGCCGCAGGAGAGGGGGTGGTGGATAAACTGGAATTTCTGCCTCTCGCCGATGTTTTGATTTTTCGCTATCTCTCTCCTCCGCTCAGCTGCTTCTGCTTTTTGGTTTGTTTATGTGTAAATCCTTTTGTTTCTTTCGATTTGGCGCGCAATTTTCTTTTGTTTTTATTGTTGTCGTTGTTTTAGTTGTTGCCGCTGGGCAATTTGCGATGCAATTTTTCAACACACGCGAAACCGTTTTGTTGTTGCCTTTGTTATTGTTGCGTTGGCCGTGTGATTGCGGTTATTAGTTGTTGTTGCTAGTTGCTTTTGTTGCTGTTGTTACTTTTGCAACTTTTTTCACAATTTGCATTTCACGTTTTTTCGCAGCAGCTTCGACGACTTTGACTTTGTTGCACAAATACACACACTAACAAACCGAAAACAACAACAAAACAATCCGAGGAAGCTGCTGGCGTCTTTTTTCTTTGATTTTTTTCCCAAGATTACAAATCCGATTTTACTGCCTGTTTTATTGTGGTTGCGCGAATTTATCGTTATTTCCGTACTCAGTCATTTGAAAACAAAACTGAGGACCGTTGCTAGGTTAACACTAATATACCATCACATTAATATTTTTCTTTAAGAAACCAAATATCATCTCGTGTTGTTTAGCGCGACAAATCGGTTTCCGATGTTTTCTCGTTATTTATTTGGTTTTTTTTCGCTCAAAAAATTACAGATTGTGATGTCTGCGGGAGGCTTTTATAGATTTTCGCTGGCTCAAATGTTGCAGCAACATGTTTCGAGAGAGAGACAAATCAAAACTCTCTCAGGGAACATTGAAGACTTTCTGGCAACGCCAAAGGCTCAAGATGGTTTGTGTCCATGATATTTTATATTTTCAAAGTGAGTTATATTTAAAGATGTTAAATAACGGTAATGTTTTGTAGTACCAAGTAACGTCACAAACTTATTATTTAGTTGAAAGTTGAATTATAATTGATAGAGTTAGAGTTGCTATGGAAGAAAAGCCTGAATAATTTTTGAATATACATATATCAAAAAAATTTTTACTAATACGTAAACAACTGGAGTCTAATGAATGTTTGGAAGTTTATTTAACTAACGGCTGGTGAAGTTTAAGGTGACCAGACCTGTTAAAGAATCGGCGCCAATATAAAAGTGGTTTAAAAACCGATATACTTTCCTCATCACCTGCAAAAGCTTTTCCAACTGTAGAGCTTTGATTTTGGCAGCATGCAACAAAAGCGGTTTTTAAATTTTAGTTCGACTCTCTCGCACAAACATGTTGGTTGTCTTTTAACGCCGACGGAGAAGTTAATTCCTCCCTTTTAGTGGTTGTTTTTGTTGTTTGCGTGGCGTTGTGTTTATAACAATAACAACAAGTGATTATTACTTAAAGACAAGTGGATTGTGTAGCTTAGCATATGGCCGAAACATAAGGCTTAGACCCTTTCCCTTTTTGGTTCGAAATTCGAGACTTCCTTCTTGTTATTTGTCTTTGGCTTATTATTTTGGCCACCTCCCAGTGGCTGCCTCTTCTTCTTCGACCCGTTCTTCTTCTTCATTGGCTCCACAATGGTTCGGTGGAGCGCTCGGTCGCGTCGCGAAGCGCGGCGCCAGGATAAAATGGAGCTGTTGGCCAGCAACAACAAAGTGAATGGCGAGGACGATACGTCCGATAACGGTAAGTGCCAGGGGTGCTCACCAAAAAAGGGGCAAACACCGTAATAGTTACCCCAAATGAAACCATGAGCATTAGCTTAGGATACTTTCAATTTGAATTAGAAATGCTTTTGAATTTTATGTTACTTCCTTTTAACAATCGACCAAAAAGACCAAAAATGAGAGCTAGTTTTTGATATAAAAAAAATGTTTACATTTTTATCAACAAATTGGAATTCTTTCTTCTTAGATTAATAAAAATTAGAAAAGCTTAACTGTTTTTAGAAAAAAAACCTGTTTGCATTAAACAAAGAATATATCAACCGTAGGTAACAAAAGAATCTTGAAGCTGGTTTGATGATCTCCGGCAAATTGTTCAAAATTGCATAAGCACATGTCAATAGTTGGTAATGAAAGTTATTTTTTTTTTATTTAAAAAAAACCCTTCATGAAACTATACCTTTCAAAACAATCCATGATGTTGCTTTGTCACAAAGCCAACATTAAGCTGCCAAAACGATTGTCGTTTGGTCTGTTTGCGATTGCAGTTTTACGACTTTGATTTATCTAAAACACTTTCCACTCCTTTTAGCCGCCTTCCGCAACTCGGCGGACCTTTCGGACCACGATGAGATCTTCCTGAAGGGCCTGCTGCGTAGTAATCCCAGCACGCCGCACAAGGAGCTGATGGTAAGTAGACCAGAACACATAAACGTAAAGAGCCGAGAAGAAATAACTCGTCACAATCTCTGACCCACTTATTTGCCATCGCGAGCATCTGTTCAATAAGAAAATTGCGCATACGGAATACGGTTTTTCCACACATTTTCCATTCACACCGACACACACAAACACCATTTGTGTTTACTTTATCGATGGCATTGCATGCTGATTTTCGGTCTAGATAGAATTTTCCGGGCTGCGAATATGTGCGTGTGTTTGCTTTCCTTATTACATCATTTTCTTTGCCTCCCCCACGAGCAGAAAAAAAGTAAAACCCTTATGCGTGAAAATAATTTCCATGCCCGAGCCACATACACTTAAATTGCTTTTCATCTCTTTTGTCTTGTGGCAATTATTATGGCCCATTAGCACTGGCTGTGTTTTTTTTTCTTGCCTTTCCACTTATGTATTTTCGCACTAAACTTGACCTCTATTGCCTCGGCAGATGAGTTCGCTCTTATGAAGATGGTGAGAGATTTTTATTAGATCATCGTGATATAACCACTGAAGTGGAAATTGGCTTGACCTGGCACATTTTCTTGTTTTAAACGCCTCTTTGGAGTTTTCTTACGCCTCAAAATTGCCTAGAAAGTTTGTGGCTTAATCAACATGTAAATAAATTTAGCTGTTTGCAAACACGCAAACAAACTACGAAAACAATGAGTGGATGGTAGTAAATAATGAAACCGAATTTTATGTTCCCTGTAAAAAACGAATCTTCACAACCAGAAATTGTAACCAAGATTACGTTTTGAATGCCTTGAATTTATAAAAAGAAAATATTTTATTGATAACTGATAAACTTTACCTGAAAACTATTAAGCTCTTAAATAAGCGTAACAAAAACAAAACAAATCAAAACACAGCAAATATAATGGAAAGCGACATCGCGTGACGCGGATAATTAGAATCCAACATTTTCCGAGGCATTTTCCTGGGCAAGTTCATTCGATTGTGGTTTTTATGCTGCGGTTGGTTGCTGGCTGTTGAGAAAGGCAGTGAAAGTAATTAAACCTCCGAGTCACGAGATAAGAAAATATGAAATGTCACATAGCAATTCTCTTTTTTGGATAACCCCAACTCTCCTGTCGTCACCGCTCCTTGGAACACTCCCCCATTTTATGTAGATTACATAAAATGCGGCACAAGTCGCAGTGTCAACTCTTTGACATCAACGCCCCAAAGAAGTTGTGTGTATTTGAGTGTGAATAAGAAAACCGGTTTGGAAATATATTTCCAACGTAAACACGACGCTTTTTATGTTGTTACCTGAGCTCGAAAACGATGCACAAAAAGCGCTTAACTTGTTGGCCTACTAATGCAGCTGGGAGTACGAGATATAACACTTGTAGAGGGCCGGAAAGAGAGAAAAGCTTGAGAAGAGATTGTGTTGAGATTCCAGATGCTGTTAAGATCGCCAAAAGGTTAAAATAATATACTAAAAAGGTTGGTGAACTTTCTTAGGTTTTTTTTTTTTAATTAATCGTTATATTTATATTTATTTGTATTTTTAGTATTTTAAAAATTTCGTATTTGGAGGTAACTTTTATTGCAAACATAAGATACTAAATTAATCTCTTCGAAAGTTCGACCAAATATCATAAATTCTTCGTAATTTCTTTAAATTCCTTACATTTTGTAATCTTTATTTTCTGTGTAGTGTTCGCTTAACATTTGAGCCACTGTTAACTGTAAGCTGACATCTAGATAACAGAGCTTCGTACAGTTGTAACTTGGCTCGCGACGAGCTTTTCTCACGGCAAGTCAGCGAGCGAGAGAGAGAGGTAGCTGTACAGAGAAAGAGACGGTAGCAGCTAGCCCTAGCTCGCTCACTAACTCTCGCTGTTTGCGACCAGAGCTTGTGAGTCAGTTACTTTCGAGCAGTTCTAAGGTGAGGTTTGCATACGGGTTCAAAACGCGCGCTTCGGTTTTTTTCAAGCCATGAGCACTGGTGCTTGACTGTATGGGTGTTTGTGCAACAGTGTGTGTGAGCGTGGCTTAAACGGGGCGGCTTCTTTTTGAGAAGCAGCCAAAAGGCAACAGTTAGTTGGCCCTCTCTTGTTTGCTCTCTCTGCAAACGCTTTTCCACATATCAAAATTCGTATGAAAACCTGTGATATTTCAAAATCAACTCTAAGATCAATAATAGTGTAAAAGCGAAAAACTGGAACAGTTATTAGTGTGTTGTGCTAGTGCCTTGGTTACCCGCTACGCGAAGCTTTTCCAAGCTCAAATTGATGACGTAGTCGCCGAGAAGTGTTTTGTAACCTGGCCAAAAGCAGTAACATGTCTTGGCCATGCTTTGGCATTTCCAAAAAACCCAAAACTCCATACTACCAAAAGTTATAAAACTCCCAAGCCCAAAGAGAGGCTCCCTCTCCCGCTCACGAATTTACACAGATATAGCCGCTCGCTCTTGGCTTTAAGCGCTCACTGGCGTTTTGGGAGTGGCTCCAAAAAACTAAGTGAAAAATACATAAAAGGCGAATAAAAAACATGACCAACTGTAAATGTAATTATAAAAAGCTAATGGCCTCAAAAATGAATAACATAATCAGCCGTTTATGTTGGCCAAATTTATTTTTGGCTAGAAATTTCACAGCTACTGGCCCTCGCAAAAGTTAAACAATTTCGTTCGTTGTTTACGTGTTTTTCTCGTTTGTCTGTATAATTAACAGTTTGCCTAATTAGTAAGCACCTGTTGCGGTACATTATATTTTGAGGCAATTTTAAACTGACGTTGTCATGACGAAAACATTTTGCTGAGTGGAGGTGAAAGCCCTAAGCCAAAGTATCAATAACAATTGTGGGTGTGTGTGGAAAAAGGGTGGGGATTGTCTGTCGCGTGGGGCTTCTTCACAGCTTTTCACACGGAAAGAGCTGAACTAAAACAACATCCGAGGAACCCAGCTGAAATACGATATTCTATGGTTCAATAAATAAATAAATAAACAAAAGTCAGAAGGATTACTCATTGGAAAAGATCACTGGTTGGGGAGTAAGGAATTTAAAAGATTAAAATGAGGGTATACATTGCATATATTTATTAAAAAATACAATAAATTGTTTACACTTAAACGACAATGAATCATTCCTTGACATTTAACTCGATAACATTCTAAATACAAACATATATAAATAATAATTTTTCACATGTATAAAAGTGAATTTTATCATGTATTACCCACAGTATCTTCCATGCTTATAAATGCCAGACATTCCATTCAATTTCTTTGGATTCTTTTTCCCAGAATAGAGTTCTTATAGAGAATGCATTTTTGCTCGCTTTCCGCTTATCAAATTCTCCGGAGATAGTGTTTCTCATCGGTTTGTAGAGAGCAAAAGAGAAAAGCACTCCCACATCAAGTACAAGTATAAATATTGCATGAGATGGCTGTTGACTCAGATGGCTTTCCCATCGTGGGCGGAAACCGCCAATGGGCTAAAAAAATAAATACGAGATGCGAGGGAATAACAAAGGCTCTAGACAGACAACAAAAAAAAAAACGCCGGAAGATGAAATTATGTGCAATTAAAGCAGAAAGGCAGAAAACTCACTTTCCATGCGACCCAAATTCAAATGGCAAGCGACCTAATTTTTGACCTAAGACTCCAAATATTCTGTTGTCAGCGCGGAGTTCGCTGGGTTCACGGGGTTAAATGGCAAATACAAGACGAAGAGCAGAGAATGCTGCCCAAAAAGCTTGAGCCAATTAACGCACTCGCTCAATTAAACCGGAGGCAGCATAACTTGACCTAGGGCAGGCACGCCCCACAAGAACCACTGAATTTAATTAGACGTACATGACAAACTCTTCGCATTTTGGTCTTTTTTTTGCAGCTGAATCCGACCGAGCCGCAGCCAGTGCCATTATTCCTGCCCGCTCATCTGAATAATAAGCCGATCTGCGACGACATCATCCGCAAGTTCTCACCCTCGAGGCGTCTGGAGTCGCGAGAGCTCGCCAAGCTTCTCGCCCAACCGCATTTTCGTGTAAGTCAGCGAGGAAAGTAATTGGGAAAGCCTTTCTCCTATCACTCTCACTGAAAACTAAAAAATTGTATATGATTTATACCTCCATTAAGATTAAGAGCTCTCTAATAAATTTTAAATTATCATTTTTACAGACCTTACTTCATTTGAAAAGGAAAGTTAATTTCATTGGAATAAAACCTAGTTTCTTTGTAAATTGTGCAATATTTTCATGGTGTTCTGAATCCTGATATATTTTATTTTTTATCTACATACATCTACATATTTATTTTGCTTTATATTTAAAATATTTTTTATATTATTTTAAAATCTTGCAGGCCCTTTTGCGCGCCCATGATGAGATAGGAGCGCTCTACGAGCAACGACTAAAAGCTGCCGGCGGATCCACCAGCCAACTAGAGATCTCCAGCCAACGCCAATCGGGCGGCTACCTGTTCACCGAGGACATCCTCAACACCAAAATGCCAGTGGAGACCATCAAGATGGTGGGTCTGCGCCGAGATCCCAGCAAACCGCTCGGCCTGACCGTCGAGCTGGACGAGTACAAGCAGCTGGTGGTGGCCAGGATTCTGGCTGGCGGGGTGATCGACAAGCAGAGCATGCTCCACGTGGGCGATGTGATCCTGGAGGTCAACGGCACCCCCGTTCGCTCTGCCGAAGAGCTGCAGGTGGAGGTGTCGCGGGCCAAGGAGAACCTCACCCTGAAGATCGGACCCAACGTCGACGAGGAGATCAAGAGCGGTCGCTACACTGTGAGTGGGGGTCAGGTAAAACAGAATGGCATCGCGGGTCTCGAAACGGGCAAGAAACTAACGGTAAGTTCGATGTCTGTTTGGGGAATTCTTCCCGAAGATTGCTGCTTGCTTGCATGAGTCTTGATTAGTTTGGGAATTATCTTATGTAGAACGTTGGATTTATGTTTATAAACAAAATTCAAATAATGAAATAAATATATTTCATATTTTTTATACGCTTTTTGTTAATCTGTTATAATTTTAATTTATTGCTTGGCCCCTTAAAACGTTGTGTTTAGAAAAAAATGCTTCAAATTATTACCTTATTGTTCCATAAAAAACCATAGAACAAACCTTGTTAAAACTATGGGTACTCATAATCATATTCATTCTTTATGAACCTTAAAACCTAAATGTAATTAATTGATATTAGCCAAACCCAGAACGAAATTCCAACAAAATTCTCGAATCGCTTGCAACTAAGTAAGTAAATCTTGGCTTAGCAAACAAAATAACAATAAAATCTTAAATTTTAATTAACGATTTTTATTTTATTTATTTATTAGTGCTATATGCGTGCGCTGTTCACATACAATCCGTCGGAGGATTCATTGCTGCCATGCAGAGATATTGGATTGCCTTTTAAATCAGGAGATATTTTGCAGGTGAGTTAACTAACAAAAAATTCAATTTATAATTTACTATACTACTTTTTTTAATTCCTTAAAAGATCATCAATGTCAAAGATCCCAACTGGTGGCAGGCCAAAAACATAACTGCTGAATCGGAAAAGATTGGTCTAATACCATCTCAAGAATTGGAAGAACGACGCAAAGCTTTTGTGGCACCCGAAGCAGATTATGTTCACAAAATTGGCATTTGCGGCACAAGGGTAAGTAACATCTTTAACAAAAAATATATATAATAAATTAATAAATATAATATTTATAAAAGATCTCGAAGCGAAAGCGAAAGACCATGTACCGATCGGTGGCCAATTGTGAGTTCGACAAGGCGGAACTGTTGCTTTATGAGGAGGTCACCCGGATGCCTCCTTTCCGCAGGAAAACTCTGGTCTTGATCGGTGTTTCCGGAGTGGGAAGGCGTACGCTCAAGAATCGTCTGATTAACAGCGATGTGGATAAGTTTGGTGCGGTTATTCCACGTAAGTGTATTTTTAAAAACATATTTATCGAATTTATATACCTAATTTTGGAATTAAATATCAATTATAGACACCAGTCGCCCCAAGCGCGCCTTGGAGGAGAATGGAACGAGCTACTGGTTCATGGACCGCGAGGAAATGGACGAGGCGGTGAAGAACAACGAATTCTTGGAGTACGGCGAGCACAATGGCAATCTGTACGGCACACACTTGCAGTCCATCAAGGATGTGATCAATAGCGGGCGCATGTGCATCCTGGATTGCGCACCGAATGCCCTGAAGATCCTGCACAACAGCCAGGAACTGATGCCATTTGTCATCTTCATAGCAGCGCCAGGAATGGAACAGCTCAAAACGATCTATGCGGATCGCAGGGCCACGGGCTCCAATAGAAATCTATCTGTATGTTCTTGAAGTAGAACCCTTAGCTTAGGCACTATTTAATCCCTTGCACGTATTCCACAGTTTGATCGCCAGAGTTCCATCAGATTCAGCTCCAGGCGCGCTCGTACGCTCGAATCCTTAGCATCTTTATATGAGGTAAAGTTTCCTGACCTTTTGCTAACTGAATAAACCTATAAAATGTGATCAAATCACTCATCCGCTTGGCGCACTTAGGCCACCCTAGTTGCCCTCTTAGATATCTGCCTGAATACCCAGACATTGCTTAACACATTCGATTTGTATGATTATATCCAACAGGACGATGATTTAGTGGCCACTGTGGAGGAGAGCAGCTTTGTCCAGCGGAAATACGAGAAGTACTTCGACATGGTTATTGTGAACGAGGACTTCGATGAGACGTTCCGTCAGGTGGTGGAAACTTTGGATCAGATGAGCCACGAGGAGCAGTGGGTGCCTGTCAACTGGATCTACTAAAAGCTACTACAGTTTCGCCTTCTTGCATATAGAGGAAATATATACAACAAAAACCTATTGCCTATCATCACAATGAATGGGATTGTTCCAGTAATTGAAGCTTCAAATCGCAGCACAATACGAATCTTAAACACACGAAGAAGTTAACTTTTTTCAATACTACTCCCTGTTAATGAAATGAGCGTATTGTGTTTTGAAAACTCCGCAAAATCGGTTAATTCAAGAATCAATTACTGCTATTTTCCTCTTTAAGTATCAGTTATGTATATATGCAATGTTTTGTATAATTTGAAATGCGCCCTCCGTTTACAATTCAGTTTTCCTTAAGTGTAAGCCTAATTTTACGAAACGAATTCGTCCATTTTACAACCTCGTATTGTTTTATTTATACAAAATATTGATTTATTTCAATGCATATCTCTTCAGTTTATAATTTTAACGAATCTCCTCAGTACAATCCTTTCTGCCAATATTTCTTGTAGTTTTTAGACTTGTTTGAAAAAAATGTATAAGTTTAACGAACTAGTTGAATATTGATGTGGAGTAAAGCAAATAAAATACGAATAAATTTGGCTCAAAGAAACTGAAGATTTTGTTATCCTTTAGCCGGGGGCACCAAAATATATTTTATTTTCTGAATCAGAATGTGGGGTTGAATGCCAAGCATTTAAGAAACTATAATTATGAGGATTTATTAGTGGATGCCAAGGGATTTCTCCACCACAGCGTGGGGCTGACGCATTTGTTCGCTGTACTCGGGCAGGTTCATGAAGTCCTCGAAGCCAATGGAGTCGCAACGGCCAGTCAGAACATCATCCATGAAGTTGCTGCAAAAGTAGATACAATAAGATTGAAAATGGGTACAATGGGTATTGGAAATATGCAATTAGGCAATCAATAATAAAATCTTAAAAGCATTTAAAATGTGTATATACTTTGGTGTGATAGTTTGGTAATAAAATAACTGATCTTGCGGATATCATGAGATACTGAACCGAACATAGCTAAATTATTTAGCTAGAACAGATTCTTAGTGTTCTTAGGATCCTATAGGAATAGGTTTTTTAATCTGGAGATCTTCATAAGATTATGTTCGACTCCTAGAACTGCAGTAATGTGTGCTGCCTTAGCACAATTATGATTACCTATATAAACCCAGAGGTTCCGTGGTCTGTTAAATCACTCACCTGGACTGAAGGAAGGGCAGGCGGCCCACCTGGCGAGCGGCAAAACGCTCCATTCCCATTTTGAGGGGCACACCAAGTCCCTCGCGGTTGCGCAGCATCTGCATATTCAGGTTGTACTGGTGCTCGTTGTAGTTGAGCTCCGAATCGCGGAGCCGGTGGACGTGGGCCAGTTGGTTGAAGCAATTGGCCTCCGTGGGCATTCCCACACGACCGGTGGCATTAAGCACGGAAACTTCCGAGGGCTGCACTTTCAATGATGGCTGATACTGTTGGCAAAGAATTTTCACTGAATTAACACCTTTATTAACTGGCCAATCTCACGTACTCACCATCTTGTCTATGCTTTTGTGGATTTCAGACTTTTGGAAGCAAAATCGAGTGAATTACAAAAATCTTGTTGAATGACAAACAACTTCCGTGCGAATTAGTGATGGTAAAACGGGTCGATGTTTCGTTTAACGATGTCGATTGTTTCAGTAATCGATTAGCAAAGAAACAAATATCCGGAGGTTGCGGTCTTGGATAAGCGATTTAGTCCAGATTCAAAAATGTTGTACCTTTACCTTTGTGTTAAGGCGGGAAATTTGATTTCATCTTATTGATAAGAAAATCAGCTACAATAAAACTAAATAAATAAAAAAAAACATTTTAACAAGATACTTACCATGAAAAGTATAGTTCGAGCACATTTTTTATTAGATTGAAAAAAAGAAATTTACATTTTAAAATCGCGATTTGTATTTGCATTTTTTGTGTCTTAAAAAATTTATAAACAAATGGTAAGCACAACATCTTTTCAAATCAATAACGTGTTGATAAGTAAATTTGGTCTATGTAAATTTGTTTTATTAGCGCGTTTAGCACTTTGGTCAAGTGACGAACCTGAGTGTTGTGATTAATTACACCCTCGCCGGGCCAGCAACGAATATTCAATCGACATATCGAACTCGGCCGCAGCTCTAATCAATTCGATCAACAAAAGAGTTGCTGGCTGGATGGCTGGATACTTTGTTTTTCTTTTCTCGCCCACACCTTTTAGCGGCATTTATGATCTTCTGCTCCACAGAGACGCGATTCATTTGCATCGAGTGACAAACGCGAACGAATGCGAACCACAAATCACACGACAGAGCTTAATTAGTGCATGGTCACTAATAAAGATTTCGGCCAGTGGATATTGTGTTAATCAAACACCCTCACACAATAGACGCAAACTGTCTACGGCCGATCCGATACTATCCAATCTGAACTTGAAATGAATTGAAAACAGCAACCGGATGGATCTGTGCCTTAGTTTTAAAGCGGAAAAATATGGGTTAAAGTCCAAGTTTGGGTGGAAGCAAAATGGGTTTGTTGTTTATAATTTAGCTGTACAGCTGTTCAACATTTGGATATACAAAATAAACTGTTTTACATACTTTATGATTTATACAGCCTTTTGTCGTTTAAATAATTTTATTTATTTATGGCGATTGGTACATTGCCAATTAATTTACGGCGAAAATAAAAAAGCCACAGCACGTAAGAGATTTATAATACAGCTTTAACATAAAGCATTAAATATTAATTTAGTAAGCGTTTTCATGAATCAACATTATTTTTAGTGAATGAAAACTATATTTAGAATTTGACAAAACGATAAGTGAACAAATGCTTTTAGACAACTCAAAAATTTACAATACGAAAATCATCATAGTCACATTTATGGCATTCATTTGATAAAACATAATATGATTTTATTTAGGCCTTGACTTCTTATTTTAAAATTATTGATGCAACGCAAAATGATTATATTTTATATTCCTATGGCTATTTGAACATAAAAAAGAGGAATAAAACTAAAAATTTATTAACAAGTCAATTTTTTTGGATTTTAAAAATGTCTCTTTAAAACCACTCCCTTTTTCTTTCTCCTTTACGAACTCTTTCGACAATTGATTTATAACGCTTACTTTTCGTTTTATAGCCTTTGACCAATTAATACATAGTAGACAAGTCTGCAGCGAATCAACCAATTTATCCAGTCGAATATATGGATATACGGATGACCAAAGAGTCAACTATGTATGGTCGAATGAAGATCTCAGAGCGAGAAGATCGAAATGTAAAAGTCAAATAAAAGTATAACGTCAAGAATTAACATTTTTTCACAGCAATAAATGCATAAAAGTCAAAGATGTGTACACAAAAAAGAGAAGAGGCATTGGCGCAACTAGAGGGGGTCGATCAGATCAGAGAATTCCCTTTAAAAACAGTTGTATTTGAGTGGTATTGTGTGCACTAAAAAAGAATTTAGAATTATTCCAGTTATTAAAAAGGATTAAGAATAAAAGTATATCAATAAAATAAATTCTATAAAAAAGATTGATACTTTAAAGTTTAAATTTACCTAAAAAAATGGTTTGGAAGGGCTAGATTTCCTCAGTGCATAAGTACACCCATTTATGCATGCCGTATACACGTATGGTATAAAATTTATAATCTTTTGCAGTCCGTCTCCGCTGGGTGCTGGCCGTCGTTCGCCATTGTTGTCACTAATAGAGACATTCCCGTACATCGTCCACTGGGAATTGATCACAAATCGAATGAGGAGGAGGCTTCGTTAACGGCAGAAAAAGTTTGACTGTTTCGTTACTTTTCTCGGCTGCCATAAACTTTTATGGCTGCAAGACTGGACGGAAGACGAGGACAATAGATCGGGGATCCGAGATCGGAGATCGGAGAACAGGGAGCAGCTGTAAGCAGCCGTCGAGATGATTGGGCATTATGCCACAGTCCGGGGCTATTCGGTATCTTTCTTTTTTTTTTTATGTCCATAGGGGTCGCGCCGCTTTGACGATCCTCCTCCTATGGGTGCCAATTAAGATACGAGGAAGAGGGTTGGAGCTGGGGCAGGGAAACTGTTCTGGACCCTATTAGCAGCCATATTGTTAGGCACTGAAAGAATTTAAAATTGAAAAAAGTTTTATTTTTACTTGTGCAAAAATATTGTATGCAATTTTCAGAACATCTTTTCTTTGTCAGTATAAAACTACTGCCTTAGAGATTTAATAATAAATTTCTTCTAATTTTCACCATTTGCACTATTTTGATATATAAGAGGAAAACTATAATATCCTGCTGTCTTAGCAAATATAAATCCTCAAATTTTTCTTCTGTGCACAGTTGCCATAAAAGTTATATCCCGTTCGTGAGTGATCTGAGTAAGATCGCTCCGTTCTTTTTATGGCCCCCATTCACCAAGATCCCCCTTCCCGCGATTGGGCAACTGTCTTCTCATGAAACCAGATACATCGAACCATAAATCAACTGGCTGAGTGAGAGATGCCCAATTCCGTGATGCATTTTATCCATTTTTGAGAATGTCAGGATATGTTGGGTGGAAGAAATGGCGGACGCAGAACATAAGCTGTGAATTCGGAGTAATTTTGGCAGCGGCATGTGTAATGCAGTAGCCAAGAGAAATAGAGGGCATACGAAAACAAGAGGCGTCGGCAAAAGTCAAAAAACCATTTCGTTACGCCAGGATGACCAAAGGCCAGCGACCAGAATGCAACGGGGAACGGGTTGAACTGCAGAGTTCCACCAAATCGAGGTATACATATATATGAGGGCATACGTATCTCCGCCGATCTCTCGACATGTGCATTTTGGCGTAACCGAAACAGAAACAAATGCAAACACACACTGCAGTCGCCCGCTCCCAATTTGGTGTATCTTTTTTAGCGTGTAGGTGTGAAAACGTCGTACACTTCCTTTATCGACGGGGGAATCTGTTTCGGTTTTTTCCTTGGTTTTTGTTTTATTTCTGGTTACTGGTCTCCCCGGGTTATTTTGCATCTTCGCTTACATAAAAGTCAAAATATTTTCGGTGCGAAATAAAATAAGACCCTGAACGTTTTTAATCTTAAAACGTTTTTCGATTCGGTCACGGTTCTCTTCGGTTGGAAACCCGCTGTATCAAAATCTGGACAGGTTGTAAATTTCTCTTCGCATCGGCTTTGACATTTCCGATTCTGCTAATCGCAGGCCCCATAAATCAACCTCACAAGAGCCCCACAGTTGGGTACAACTGCTATACTATAACTAGACTATAAGTACTAGATGTGTACTATATGCTTCTATCGTCTGGCACTTCAGATCGCCGTGTTATGACGGGCGCCAAGTCAATGGGTCTGTTCCTTCGCATTCCATGCAGACCGACTGGGATTTCATTTGAATTTTCTATTTATTGGGGATATAAATTGTACTACTTATAAAAAATGGATTTGAAATCAAAAGACCGTTCAATCAGAATATGTGCGGTAAGTATAAACTTAAGTATCAGTATAATTTTAATGTTTATCCTTAACAAGGTTTAAAAGTTTGGAAAGTTTTTTATTATATTAAACAAGAAATTCCACTTGCAGTTGCACAATTTTATTTTGCATAAATCCCCAACTTGGGTTTTATAAACACTAATTGCACACAAAAATTGGGGGTCCAATCGACCCCAGGCGATATGCATGAGTGCGAGCGAGCCAACCGTAGTATTAGTTTAACAGTAATGGCCGAGTGAAGAGGAGTGGGCAAAGAGGAGAGGCAATTAATTGATTGACGTTTGCCGCATATTGTTGTTGCTTTTGGTAGGTGGAGCGTAGCTGTGAACGTTAACCCTTGTTAACCCCAATGATAAATTAAAATTCCCATTAACTGTTGTGTTTTTATTGTTCATATTTTATTTAAATATCTAAGCACATATACACACATACATTCACAAGTCATAAATTATCTGCCGCCAACATTGAACTAAGTAAAATTGTGGATGAATACGTTAAAATTATTTATTTATATGGTAATTTTGCTTTTGTGCTCATAAAATGCATTAGATTTACATTTAGTACATCTAGATTACACTACGGCTATTTGTTATTACGATATATAAAAGTAATAAACGTTAAAACTCTTTATGTTTATATTTACATGGGCTGAAGAATCAAGTTGCTCTCTAAAATTAATTGCTTGTACTAAATTTATGTTAAGTTGCTGCGAATAATTTCTTTAAACGGCTGGGACGGCTGGTTTGAATTGTGTTTTGTTTTTCATCGGCAACTTAATGGACTACTTATGAGCTAACCATTTACTTTAAATACATATGTACGTTGAACAAAAAACAAAAATAATACAAGAATGGGACTTGTTAGCTGGGAGGGCGTTGACGTGCTAAAACCAGGAATATACAATCACAAAAATTAACAACGTGCAATATTCGAGGTGCAACGTCCGCCTAAACCTCCATTTTGTTGTGTGCTTATTTTTTCTGTGTTGTGGTCGAAACAGTCTGACTGCGCGACCTAAGGGTTAAGCCAAGTCCAAGGCAAGAGAAGGAGCACTGTAGGAGCCATCTCCTCCTCCTCCCCTCTCGTTCTCACTCCCCATAAGGGAGTGCTGCGGCTCCATGTAACTGTTATTATCGCCGCTGATATTGTTGTTGCCGCCGCTTCCGTAGCAGGAATGATCGTGTCACATTGAAAGTGTTCCCACAGCCGCCGCAGCAGACATTTGTGCACTGTGCTGCTGCTGCAGTTGGTGTGAATGCGCCGCTGCCGCCGCAAGGGAGTGACTGTGGGCGGCCAGGTGGGGATGCAATCGCATTGCAGGTATGTTCATCGCCGCCATCGGGTTTATCGAATGGGCCAGCGAGTGTGGCAAGTGTAGGCCCGGATCCAATTTCGCCTTGGCGTCCAAAAAGCTGACTGTAATCTGCATGCTGCACTCCCACGCCCATCACATTCGGATCGCTGCCCTTCTTGTTCTGTTTGCGCTCCTTGGCCCGGCGATTCTGGAACCAGATCTTCACCTGACGTTCGGATAACGACAATGTTTGGGCCAACTCGCTCTTGCGCCGGATGGTGATGTAACGGGACGTGCAGTACTCCTTCTCCAGTTCCAAACGCTGGTAATCGGTGTAGACCACTCGGTACTTGTCCTTGGTGCGTGTTTTTCCTACGAAAGAATTAAGAAAACATAAAACCATTAGTTTATGTGGAACAAACATTGAAGATTTTGACTAAACCATGCAAAAAATTGCAAGCTGCTAAATAACGAAAAACTCTAAATTTCAAGACAATTGTTAAATACAGGCCCCGCGCTTTATTTCCAATCATTTCAAAAGATATACAAAAAAAAACAAACCCAATTTAGTTAAAATAAAAGTATCTATACAGATCATGTGCGATTTTGTCGTCAGAAGGCAGAGACTGTTGGCCAAGTTGCCAGGGCGCCTTATACTCATTTTAAAATAAGTGTCAACCGAGTGGAGTGACTGGCGTCAGATGAGCAAACATGTTACTCGACCAGTTCATCTTGTTATAATAGATGACAATATTTAAATTATGATAGCCATAGAAGCCTGTCACATGCTGTATAACAAGATTGGAGCAACCCCAAGTCGAAGCGGTAAACATGAAAAATAATTCACAAGGAGCCGACAACACTGGGTGTAACGATTCTCCTCAGAATCGTCGAATTTAGAACGTGGCGCTGAGCTGCGCAATTAGTCAATCAAAATTCAAATAAATGACAGAACCGCAAACACACTGGGATAGAAAAACCCCAGACAACGTTGGAGATGAGCTGCAAAGGCATGAAAAAGGCCACGGGATCGTGGCAGTCTGCCTACGTGATAAACACACCCACACCAGCGGGAAATATTTCAAAGCAAACAGCATTTCGGCCAGGGGATTTTGCTCTAATTTTTTTATGTAGGTACAACGATACCGTAGTGTTCTCACAATTAAAATTGAGCAAACAGGCAAACAGACAAATATTTTCACAGATGATAAAGTTCAACAGTACTGCAAGAGATAGAGAGAAGGGAGAGGAGAAAGCGGAGTGCAAAGAGTAGGTGTTAAAGACCTCAAGATGCCCTACGATAAATGATATATGGTCTTCAGGGTAATAACTACTAACCTGGTTGTGTTTTTTTTGCTCAATAAGTTTTTGCAACCTTTAAAGTGTCGAAAGATGATATGATTCTCAGTAAACTCCCCAAACCTTAATTCTGGTTTTCATAAACCCCATTAAACCGTTACCCCTTATCTCTCTCACTCTTCTATTTGTTCTTTACACTTTATTTAGACGTGAATTTATAACTGTCGCTCTGGCTCCTCGTTTGCTTAGTCTAATGTGGCAATCGCATGGAGAAGAACTCAGTTGAAGAATAATGTTAAAACCCTGCTAAACACACACCCATAATCTAGTTTTTTTTTTCGCTTCACATTATAAATCTACAATTTTCAGTCTACCTTGCCATTTTTAGTGCTCTTGTTGGGAAAATCTTTGTTCGCGCGTGTTCTTGGGTCTCCAATCTACTGATAAAGTGGGCTTGGCTCCCAGAACAGTCCGACACACATAGAAAAATAAGTTGTTTAGACAGACTTGTCGGATTTGAGGAAGTGCACAAATAAAAAAAAACACTAAATTAAAGCAACATTATTATCAGCTGCTTGGATTTGAAGAGTAAATTGTAGAAAATAAAACATATTTTCGGATTTCGCAATGTGAGGCAAACTATGAGTAAGATGAAGATATTTTTAAAGGTGTTGATAAAATTACGTAAAAATAAGATAGTTGAAAGGGGAGAAATGATAATAAAAATCTTTGTAAACATTTTGAACCTATGCTTTGTTTTCCGAGAAAACTTCCCTTTCTATTATCGTGTGCTAAAACTCCTAAATAATTTCTCTAGGATGCTTTTTATATAGCGACCTCATTTTAACCATCTGTGGATCAGAAAACCAGAGTCTAGCCTCCAAGAGGCTGTTATCTCTATCCAAGGCACACAAAAACACACTGCACGGCTTTATCTGGTTACCACTTGGAGGTTCCAATTTCTCACACCTAAAAACGTAGCACAAACAAGAGAAAATCCGCTCGGAATTAGGGACAAACTGGAGCACACTTTCCGCAGGGTGGTGGGTGTTGGGTGGTGTTGTGGGTGGTTCACAAGTGCCTGGCACCACTGACCTTCACGGCCATAATCTAATAAATCGTACACGTATTATATGCACAACTATAAAGCCACTATCCAGGCGAGTGGAGTGTTTTATTGTGTTAATAAACCAGGCAAGACAAACGCCCTGAATGTGGATCAACTTGATCCTAATGCTAATGCTCCATTGTCTGAACCTCTAAGATCCTACCAAGATCTCCACTTTCCTCTTCCTCAGGAAGATAAGATTGTGAATGAATGGCAAAAAGCGAAGAACGGAGATCAAGCAAAGAAATACCTCGTCACTTTGGCAAATAATTGTGCTCGAAAATCTTTCTGATATACAATATCTTGGGATATTCATCCGTTGTATATAATACTCGGCTTCAGCAATTAAATAAAATTGTGCGTCAAGGTGTGACATTTTTTATGACTTTGTCGCGTCATGAGTGAACACCCCGTAATTTATATCGAACGGGGTTCTTCGCTCGATAAATTCCTCTCCTAATGCTGCACTGCCTAATTGAAAGTTTGATTTTGAACTGTTAATGCTATTGACTGGCGTTTGTTTGCTTTATAATGTTTCCCCGTCCACATGTAATGATAGATTAGTTAGTTGGCTTTTCCCGTCGGCAAAGTTCTAAGAGGTGCAGACCGTACGCACCTCCTAATCCCAGTTGAGGTCTGAATCAATATCGATGGAGTTACAAACCGTATAGTCTGAAGCCACCGGGGGTAAATCGATGAACATTTGTCCAGATAAGCTTTAATGGCTGTTCTTCACTTATCGAGTGCGTACAATGTATGAGTTCTCTAAGGGAAGGGTTTATGGACTGATTGGTTTCTGCGTGTTTTCTACTGATCGTTACTGAAGAAGTAAGCACTGTGCGAAAACAATTTTTAAACTAACATCACAAAGCTTTTTTAGTGCATATCTACCTAACATATAACAATCATTCCTAACTTCTAACCAACATTTCTTTTGATTTATAATCATAAAACCTTAGAAATCTCTCAGTGCATTTAATAATTCTTGGCTAAACATTAACAATCCTACTGTCGAGTCAATTGGCCTATGGGATGTCCAACACATAACTTCAAATGCCGACAAAGAAAAATTGTTTAAACAGTGAAAACCGATTCTATAATATCAAACACAACAGAAATAGAGCGCGAGCAAAGATCATTTGGGTAATAAATTATATCAGGTTGAGGTTGGGTCGTTTTCCCTATTAGAACAGCTGTTGATTGCTGGGCAATTATGTGGTCCGCCCCCTGGGGAAAAATCAGTGGCCAAGGACAAGGGCAGTTGTAGTCACAGATACAGTTAAGTAACCGATGTTGCGGTTAGTTACGGTCACTGGTGGTGGAGGGTCGTCTTCAGATGTTGTAGCTTAGTTTATTTAAGGAGTGGTGGTTTTTTTCTTCCACCACCACCACCCCCGCTGGGTGTTAATTTGTCACTGAGTGTTGAACACCCCCGGTGACATCTTCCTTTCGTTTTGTCTCTCTTGTCCAAGCCCATGAAAATCTATTGGGAGACATTTATTACCTGGCCTCCATAAGTTAGCTCGGCCCGAATTTAAACGTTTTTGTGGTTCTGGATTAAAGCTTGTGGCAAAAGTTCTGTGGCCAGAATGGAAAGAGCAATTTCGGCAATGGTACCCCTGAGATTTGCGCACACAAACCTCAACACTTGACTTTTTAACACCCCTCTCTTCTTTTTGGCTTTCGCCCAACTTAAAGTCTTTGGGCGAATATTTGGGCTTTTCTTTGCTACTATTTCCTTTTTTGCACTGCTTTTGTTTTTGGCATTTTCCTTTCCGTTTTCCAGCATCATAAATGTCGGATGTGGAAGTTGGGGGGAGGCCGCATCGGGTTTATATATCTGTTTGTTTGTCTCTCACCACCCAAGCGACAATATAACAATAACATTTATTTGGCATTTTGCTGCTGTTTTAGCTGCTCTTATATCGTAAATATTAGCTCAAATTACATCATAAAATCATTTGATTCGATTTGACGTTTATTTTGCCTTTTTCCTCCTTTTCTGGGTTAGAGCCTACTACTATAACGGTATCCGGTCCTTGGGGGAAGGTGGGGTAATAAAGGGGTTACAGAGAGATTTCGGTTTTTGGGCTACTGTAAATTAAACAGGCAGTAACTTTTTGCTTGTTTTACTAGGGGAATTGTTTGGATAAATTTATGATATCGTATCCAACCATTGATGAATTTACTGAGCTTTACAGAAATAGTTATTATATAACAGAGTAAAGGGTAAATATAGTTTTAAAAATCGAACTTGAGATCATAAGAATATGATTTCAAAAAGGTTAACTTCATTCGAACATGTAATTAAGTAAATTACTTAAAATTATAGCCAAGAAATTCAAGTTGGCTTATGGACCGGATCATAAATAACTATTTTATACACACTTATCAAATTAAACCCGTACGAAAAAGGAAATTCAAAATGGCCGCCATCAAACATAAAACATGCGACATGCAAACACTTTATATGGCATGCAGACATATGCAAATGTGAGTTGTTCTTTGAGTTTTCCCCTCTTTGGAGACCACTCCCAGATATATACATATATAACCCTCCTCTTTTGATCGCCCTGGCACGCAGCCTTATAAAATGCCCGAGGATGGGGAACAGAAAACACGAGACGGACTGGAAATAATAATAATATTATCAGATTGCGTGCAACAAACGAATGCCGCTCGAACGTGTTCAGATATATGTATATGTACTATATGCTACAAATATATGCGGCACGCAACCTTACAGCACGCCAATGGCAGCGATGGCTCCAAAAAAAAAAAAAAAAGAACCCCTCCAGTCCATCAGAAACTTTAATTCCAAGTCTGACTCAGAGCTCGTTTTATTTATGGCTTAAACCGAGCGAGATGGAAGTGAGGCAGAAAGAGAGAAAATACAGCCAGAAAAAATGGCAGCCATCGGACAAAAAATGCGGCCTGCTTATGGCCTGAATGAGACGCCATTAAAGCCATAAATACTCCAAGACTGGCAATAGAAAAATGCAGGGGAAAAATACAGAAAAAAATGCCTGAAAGGTGGAGAGAATACCAAAAAAGGCGTGTTTCTTTGGGCCAAAAAAAAAAATATTTTCAAATGTACGTTAATTATTTGCCACGACGACGACGACGCATGCAATAAAATTTATGGCTATATGATTTAGAGGAATATAAGATGGTAGAGGGGCATCTTTATGATATCCCCTCACCCCAAAATAATTGCATGCAGCAAACGGAAAACACAAAAATCGCATTAGAGTCAAAAATGGAAAGCTAACTATAGTTTTTGTTCAGTAATTAAAGGAAAGACAATTTTTATCCAGGAATTATTATTTCTCCTACCGCTTGCGTCCAGCAAATCACTCAGATCCTCTAAGTTGGGCGAGCTGCACAAATCTGCGATTCGACGGGGATTTTATAAGAATTATAGATTAGATTATTTTCAACTTTTAAAAGAAGAGTTTAAAAGATTAGCCATTAAAAAACTAAAACAAAATCTATCACCAAACTATTGACCAAAACGTCAATAAATATTTGTGAGCCCCCTGGAAGCCACATTATTGAAAGTAAATTTGCGCTCCATAAAACTATTAAACAAAATAATATGCAATAAATTCTTACGGCTCGAGCCGAGGAAGCAAACTATAAATTTTCTAGGAATTCCCCCCACCGATTCTCCCTTATCTCGGCGGGTTAGACCAGGCAAACGGTTCGGGCCAGTGTGCAACAATATTTGTTTAAACTCTGAGGTGAAACTGAGCAAATGTTGCAGGAGCAAACACAATCAGGGAAATATACTACTCAGTAATACACAATCATCCGACAAGAGAGTCCCCATTCTGTTCTCGTTCCATTCTGGGCCTACGTAATCCCCATGGCTCATCAAGCGTATAATCATCATAATCAAAGTCGGGCATAAAAATCACAAATATGGCAATCATATATATTCTCCATTCATTCGTTCATTCATGGTTATGGGTCATTATACGATGGCGGGGGCATTTAATTTAGTTTTTTATAATTATTGCTACTTTATTGTATTGTTAAGCGATTAACGTTGGCCACCGGCCATATTTGAGTAGTATGGTATGGTATATAGGGGGAATTGCAAATCTTTCTTTCCGTTTTTTGCTACCGTATCGTAAATGTTGTCACCTCATAAAAAGAATCGCCAAACAACTCGAAATGAAATCAGAATTCGCTTGGCGCGTCACTCGCGTCTCCCCTTCAATCAGCCAGTCAATCATTCAATCGGTTTTTTTGGGTCTGGGACATAAGCAGGTGTCATCCTAACTATCATCATTGTACACAATTTTTTGTTGTCATAATTTAGTTGGGGCCAATGTTGATTGACAATCGGATTTTCCTGTCGCTTGGCCAAATTGTCCCCTCCAAAAACAAAAAGGCTTTCTACCCAGCAGTTCCCCGATATGGACTACATATATCGTAGTTAACAGCTCGACCTGGCACTTCTCGTCCATTATGATATTATGGTTTATGGCTGAACAGGAAACGTAAGCTATAATTTATAATTTCTGGGCTCTCTTTTCTACTGTTTACTTTCATTGATAAAATAACTTGAGGCAGGACTGCGTAAGATAGTTTGTAATGAAAGCGAAGGAAAAGTATCCATATTATAAAAGTACTAGATAACTCTATGGAAGTTTTTGAAACATATATTAATTAATTATTAAAAATTTTAATTATATTAAAATATATATATTTCAAACTATCAAAACAAATATATTTTCTTGCCCCTTACAATATTTTACTTCCATTTTGAACAGTCACCATTTTAATTTATCGCTTTATTGAGTAAGCTTGCCGTAACCCCAAATTAAGCTCTTAAAATCCCGGGCGCCTCCAATATAAACTCGATACACCTCGAATGGTATATCAAAAAAAGGTGAAGACCTACAAATATATATGTGTATATGCCTATATAGACCGATGGCTGTGTGTTCAGGGCTTTGGAAGCAACAAGAATAAAATTTCTGACTATTACCAATATCAAAGCCAATACAAATAGCAGAGAAAAACCCAAACATGATTTTGTTCTGTATTTGGACAACTAAGCCCAAAGTAAATGACATAATGGTAACAAGTCCGTGACAAATGGAGGGGGACAGCCAGCGGGTTTCTATGCTAATCCCATCATGTCAATCAACGAGCCAAACGCACACTCCATATAGATCAGTCCGAACCAAAATTCGACTTCATTTTTGACACATGGAAGAAAGGGGGCAGGGAAAAATAACTTTGATCGGGGGTGGAAGGGTAAATGTCATCGGCAAACATTGATAGTGCCGATAACGAAAACGAACCATAGTTCGACTGCAGTTAGTGGCCATTTTTAATGCTTATCTTGGGGGAACGAGACGATAGAACCAGCCCCAAAACCAGCCCACAAATGTATCCTATCCATATCGATGAAATACTACAATATTTTTTTTGGGATGCGGTCGGGAAATCAATATAAATCCAAGCCTTGCCATATATTCTTTCTCTTCTCTTGTTTTCCCTTTCTGCTTTCGATTATTTATGTGGTTAGATATACATTTTCTGTGCATATTGACACATTAAATCTCAATGTGTCAGGTGGCATTAGTTTTTTATGTCCCAACACGGGCAATGCTGAAAATCTACAGACAATCCCGGTAAGAACTCCTTGGGCTTGTAGATACATATATTTCCTCAGAGAAATTATAACGATAATAAATTATGGGCAGCAAATAAAGAAATAATTGATTTTTATAATGAAAAGTATTATAAGATTATAAAAGTGCTTTAATGTTATTGAGAGCAAATAATTGAAATTTCTGTGAAATATTTGGAATGTACATTTCTAAATATTTGTTTTTTATTGCGTCTGTTTTTGGAAACTGAATGATTTTGCATTTTTTTAAAAACACTTTTCACAACTGCTGTAAAAAGACCATCTAGTTGGGAACTGAAGTTTCGTGCCGTTTAATAATGATTGCATAGATTTGATCGTAAATGTCGCTATTTAGTTTTTATTGGAAGTAATACTAATTTTTATTGGTTTATGGCCCTATATTGTTTTAATCAATATGCCCGTCGCGAACGCAACGGAATCGCTTATCAACAATGCTTTTGACGTTTTAGATAACACGAAAAAACCTCTTTTTTTTGTGGCCACGTTTCCATATCACTTGGTACATTATTGAAGCAACAGAAAATAGAACTCGTAACCATATAGAGTGGAGTGCGGAATAGAACGAAGGTGAGTGGAGGGTGGGAACCCAGGACTTATTGACAGGGCGGGCGTTTATTTGATTTCCCCCTAGCTAATCTAATCGCAAAACCTGCCAGAACCACCAGCCATTGAAACAAAAGTACAAGGCATCTGGATTCACCGACAATTGTGGTTGCCGTTTTATTGCCACACCCCGAAAGTTGAAGTGGGCCTTTGACGTGCTCTGCCACATGCCCCACAAACAAACAAAAATTGGGAACTTTTATAATTCCATTAAAAATCACGAAATGTTAGTCATCGCAATAATAGACTTCTTACAGGGATCGCTGCGAAATCAAAACTATTTGTTATAAGCGTTTTTGGAACTGTATTAGCTGATGAAAGATATTTCATAAAAATCAGTTTGATTTTTTTCGGTGATTTATAAAACCCAAAAATTACAATTACTCTTCGCTGATTGTCCCGCCAAAAAGGGAGTTCTCAAACAAAAGGGTGAAAGGGGTTTTTTGAATAATAAATAAGACAAACTTAAGTTGCCTTGTCGGCTTGACCAGCTGGATTAAGCGACAACAACAGCAACGGGCGACGGCAATAAACGTTAATTGCATACCAACAGATTTTATGGGCTTAATGGATATCGGCGATATTGTCGATATCGCTGTCGTCGTCTTTCTTTTCTTTTTCTTGACATGCGCCCCGGGGTCATAAATCGTCAGCAAATGTGTGAGTGTTTATTCCCTTCTTGAGTTTGTGATCGCTGCATTGACATTTGCATTGCTTTTGCTTGTTTTTTCGATTTGTTTTTCAAAAAGGTGTGGGTACAAGGTAAACAAGTCAAAAAAAGAAAACCAAATTTGCAAGAACTGCGCAAGATGAATTTGTTTAAAAACTTAACCTAGCAAATTATCGTAAAAATCCAATTCAATAAACGAAAAAAGTATTTCCCTACAACTTTTAGAACCTCCAATTAGATACTCCACACAATGCTAATTGCTGTGAGATTGGTTTCGATCTTTTCTCATTCCTTTACCTTACTTGCTTTAATTCCTATCCATTTTGTTTATGTTTTCCATTAAAAACTGGAAGGTTTTCGGTAAAAATTGATCCAACCATTTAGAAATTTTTATACTTAAATTGATTTACGACACAAAATTAGTCAATAGAATCGAACGAGTCAGAGTCAAACAAACGCAAACACTCAGGCCCATAAATCAAGGCGTCGAATCGGTGGATCTCTCGACCCCAACTGAATATCATAAAGCTGGAGAATTTGATTTTTATGAGCTAATTGGCCATTGGTCTTGGATCCGCGTCAGGTAAACGATTTCTTATAAAAAATCCGATATAGACAGAGCGGCGGGGCAAAAGCGCGAACAGCACGAGCTTAAAGGGAAGACAATGCAATGCACTGTTTTATGGGAAATATGAAATCTTAAAAATTCAGATTGTGACGAGACGGATCCGGGAGAAACCAAAAAAAAAAAGGCGGAGAAGGAATCGAAGGTCACACCAATTTCAGTTATATACAAATTGATCGGAGTGACTAAGCTGGGTAAACTTTAAATTACCGAATGTTGGCTTTTTTCTAAGTAGGTTGAAGTTCTTTAAAGAGCCATCTGAGAACTCTTTATTTTTAAATTGCATTTTCCCCTAAAAATGTGACCCCTTTTGAGTATTAATAACTTTTATTTACCCCAAAAAGTATTAAAATACTATATATCCCTGGACCCTTAAGAACTCACCTGGCTGTGGTTGCGCTGGATAAGCGGGCTTCTTCATCCACTCGTAGTACTGTGGCTTCGATGGCGATGTCCTGTTGTTGTTGTTGTTCACCGAATTGTTATTGTTGTTGTTGTTGTGGGTGGACGGACTGTTGTTGTTGTTGCCAGCGACGGCACTCAGATGGTGTGTCAAATGATGATGCGGCGACGAGGCAGAAGTTGGAGCCCCGGGACTTGAGATCTCCGATCCGGAAACGGTGATTGGTGGCGATGGCAGACCCTCGGCGATATGTTGCTGATGGTTGGGCGGTGCCGAGCCCGGACCACCGTCGGTGGCTCCACCAACCGAACCAGCGCCTCCTCCGCCGCCGATGCTGCTGTTGGTCTCATTGAGTTGCGGTGCATTTGGGGCACCGCTACTGCTGCTGCCCGAACTCGTCGAACTGCTCGAGGCATGGGCATGATGGTGGTGGTGCTGCTGCATCAACTGGTGCGCCGAGGTGGGCACATTCTGGACGAAATTCTCAGCCGTACTGGAGGCGGGTGAATGCCAATCCCCGGCACTCGCCGCCGAGTGGAACATGTGATGCGAGTTGTAGTACATCTGATGGGCAGCGGCCGCATGATGGGCGGCATGCGATGAGTCCACATCGCCTAAGAACTGATGGTTTGGTGGTGTGTGATGATAGTTTGGGGTCCAGTTCCACGGCTGACTGGCTGCCGAGGCATAGGCCAAATTTGCAGCACTGTGCTTTTGTGTGTAGGGCAGTGTATTGTAGTAGTGCGAAACCATGTTTGAGGTTAGACTGTGCAAGGTCCGTTTCGCGAAAATAATCCCTTTCTCTGATACTAAGTCGGTTATCCTTATTTAAGCTTTTTTTTCTCTCCACTTAATAGACAACGATTTAATTGCACATTTTCTAAAGTTTTTAGTTGGGTTATATCTTTATATTTTGCTTTGTCAATTTTTACAGCTATCACTGGACTGGTGATGTGTGTTTTAAGCCGCACAACTGCACTCGTAAAAGGTATCGATACTTTTCCGAATCACTATGAGTATATTCCGCTTAGCACTTCACTCACGATATGGAAGTTTTGGATGGGTATTACTGATTTTTTTTTTTTTAGTTTTGTTCCGTTGCGATGCGACGACAAGTCAGTACGCAAGTTGAAACCGTACTGAAACGTTGAGCAAACTCGACTGATAAAAAACCCAAAGCAACGACATCAGATAAACAGGCAGAGAGGCTCAAGCAAAAACAACCACCAAATATAGAACTCAGTAGTCGTCTCTTTCCAGCCAACGAAAACTCCCATTAGGTGGCCTTTTTTTAACCCTCATTTCCGTTGCACGTTTGAAATCCAAGATGGCTTGGGTTTGAAAAGCCATCTCTTTCTAAATAGTTTCATGTCTCTTTCTACTGCTTTACGATGGCTGGCGTTCTTCAGGTAGCCACGCCCCTTTGAGCCAGGTAGGCAATTTGTGGTAATTTCTTGGCCAAGAAAAACCCCTTTTCCTTTATGGCCCGCTTTCGATTTGTACATACTTTAATTGCAGTTGCCGTTGGCTAATTAAGTAATTGCATAAATGCGTGTATTATGCAATTAGTGACTGTAAAATTATGTTTCCACGGTCATTACAGTGGATATATAGCTCTATCTGGAAAACAATCAATGTCTTACCCTACAGATTTTATTCTCCATAAACATAAACCATATACCTATATAGTTGGTACATATTTGCTGTACTTAGAGCTCCATTGTCCACATACTAGTTGTTTGCCAAGCCATTGCCGTTTATTTGGGCGCCTCGATAAAGCTATAACGCTATAGTTATAGTTATAAAACGATTGCCATAATTGACATATAAGCAACGATATTATATAGCCCGGAATACAAGAAAAGCGGAAGAAGTCTGACGTTGATAACGCGTAACATTTAATAGCTACTCTTAAGTAATGGTAAAATTAAAAATACTTTTTTGTTTTGATTACTATTAATGGTTAAAATTCTTAATCCTAGTTGAAATCCATCTTTAGTTTATAGTTCAATTAGTCAAAATATATAATTAAAATGAGAACAATTATGCCCAAAACTATAAAACGATAAACTCGTTTCAATATGACAATATGTTACTAAAATAAAAGTATAGAACTTCAGGCTCGACAGAAATTGAAAACATGTAGTGCTTATAGAGATATCTCGAATCACCTCAGTTCACCTCGATACATTTTTCTTCGCTCCATTCTTATTAATTTTTATCCAGAAAATGCAACAACCGAGCTAATCCCAATTGTAATCCCTAACAAGAAGTGCTAAACCCGCGCCGATTGAGTAATCCCAGACAGTTCCAGAAATTGTCGTACAGTATAGATCTATAAAAAATACATTCATTGATTGTCGCGATGCTCGTCAGAAAAGAGTGATCATAAAACTGCAAATGTCGCGTCAAATAATTAGAAATGAATGCAGCTGACACAATGGGATGAGAGCCGAGATCCCTGAAAAGGACACGCGGAACAGAAGCCTGCGAAGAAGCAGTTGGCCTCGCGAGGGAGGTACTTAAAACTCACTTATTAACGCTGAACTACCAGAAACTGGTTCGGGATCGTGTGTCCAAACAAAAAACCCCTTAATGTCCGTAAGACAAAACATATTGTAAAACAATCGAAAGGGCCCGAGGACAAAAGGGCGATTTTATTATTACGCGAAAGACCAAAATTCAGGATGAAATCGCAACAGTCGCGCGGGGACACCAAACAAGGCTTATAAGGTGGTGCTGGTGGGCTGACCTGCCCATCGAACGGGCCCATAAAGTTCACACAACAATTAGGCAGCCACAGCCCAGATTTTGTTTATTTTTTTTCGCAAACCGTCAACAATTCGGCGGAATTTACTGCGTGGGCTGGGTTTTAGGGGAAGGGTAGGTCCTATGATGTCTATAAGGTTGGGCCCTCGTTTTATCCCAGGCACGGGCAAGTCATGTAACAGTCGACGATATTACCTGGAAGTCATTAGGGGCACACAAAAAGGCTAATCCCTCAGTGATCTATGTAAACATATGGTAATTCCATTCTGGACGATTTCGAGATCAATCAGGAGTTTTCAATATCTGTTTAGATGTCACAATTTTGTTTAGGGAATAGAAAAATCAATCGTATTAACAAAATCCCTAAAATAACAATTTTTATAAATTTTAGAATTGTAAAGAATTAATAATATTTTCTATAGACCCCTTAACCAATTAACCAATTAATCCCCTTTCATTTCCATTCCCATTAAATCGCCTATTTTATCAATGAAAGATTTCGTCAGATCTCTAAAACACTCTAATGCATCTCTATCTGCCTATCGTAAATTAGAATCTGTCCCGCCATTGACATTAACAACCTGCCAAGAACTCGATGGTATTTATATATTTTCCTTCAATTATGTTAATAAATCCATAAAGAAAGCAAATCAAGCGCCATGGCTCATAAAGCAGACTCCAAAATAAAACTCAAGGGGCAATCAGACCATTAAGATATATACTCGTTTGTCCCAGCCCCAGACCTAACTAGATATAATAACATATATCTGTAGATTGGTATGTGTATAATGTGTTTGACGACGCCAGACGGATATGTGAATATGAACGTGGATGTGTCTTTGTCGCGCGGCTTTTGCCGTTTGTCGGTTCGTTTAACGTTTTGGAGAGTTTTATGGCCATTGGCCCCGGCCAAACCCCACCAAAACCCCTCCAAAACCCCCCATATTCCACCCATAACCCCCAGCCGAACCCACAGCAAGTGCATTTTGCGTTGTACGAACCACCGCCTCCTCGACCATCACAATCAAACACCTTTATGGGTGCCGCGACATTAGCGATAAAATATCTTTGTTAATAAAACAAATTAAAGTCGAGAAGGACAACAAAAAGCGGCAAGTCACAATTGAGTGGAAAGCCCAAATTATTTTTGGATTCACTGCCAAACCTTTTTGTGGAAATTCCCAAGATAATTGCGAATTTAGATCAAGTCATGGTGGCAGACTTTCTGTGTTAAAGGTCTTCTCAGCAAAATCCGGTCGCCCAAAACATCAAATATTTACAATATTAAAAAGTTCACATTAGGAACTACCGAATTTTACTAACATTACAATATATCAATACCATTCAAAATAAATAAGATATTTATGGTTTTGGTAAAAGTTTATTTTCAATATGCGAGCATTGTCCAAAAATAGGCATTAATTAACAATGTTATGTATAGCGTGGATTCAGGGATTTAAAGTATACAAATTTAAAAGAGTTTCGCTTAAAAACAAGTTAAATACAAAAGGAATTTCATTTTGATATATATCTCGCCCTAGTGAGTGCCTCGAAAACGAAGTGCACAACAAAATGATCGGAACATGCCACAGTAGAATAGGAATAGATTGTGTTAAGATACAAACAGGTCGATAAAATATATTCTGACTTGGTTTCTCAGTTCCGTGTATAAGTATATAAAATAAGAATAGGCATCAGTTACCCGATTTTCAGTTTCAAAAGTAAAAGCGTAGAAAAAATATATGTTTTTTACTGATAAATATAGCGGAAGTTGAATTTTGTAGTTAGTATACATTGCTGATTACTGTAATCGTGGGAAAAAATTAGTTTGAGACTATTATTTTTTCAGATTTTGTTGATTAATAAATGTTAAATTAGATCTTAAGTGTAAGTTACGATCTCCGCTTCAAAGGGTCTAAAATAAATTGATATACCTAAGGGTAGATGAACACTTAATCGGCCTGCCAATCACTCTAATTACATGAATTTTGCTTGGTGTACATAAATTGCAATACAAAATTATATTTAAAAAACTAAAGTCAAATTGTTAAAACATTAAACAAACTGAAATTAATGACTACCACCATTTATAAAAACAACTTAAAAAATCATCTGATTATTTGTCATTTCATCTCACGATTAAGTTACAAATCTCAGTTTATCAGCAATGCATTTTAAAAATTCTCATATTACTAGCTCCAAGTATTTATTATTTTTCGGACTTTTCCTGCTTCTATTCAAATTTTCATTAAATCTCTTGGACACGCCAATCGAGTTGATATGTAAACAAGGCTACACACATGGATTTACAGATGTACACAGCTATGATCCTAGGCCCTTAGAACGCTACAGATGTCTATTTATATATGTACAGATAGAAATTCCTGGTTTTATAATTTCTACGCGGAGCCCAAGACCTCGTTAAGGATCATCTCGCGGGTCATCAGTTGTCCGTTGGTGACACGCGTCCGCGATCGACTTCGACTGAGTTGTGCCCTCCGTTCCGCTCCAGCTGGTCGCTGTCTTCGTGCCTGTCGGTTCCGTTGTCCAAAGGCGGAGCCCGTTTGCAGGGCCTCCAAGAGACTGTCCATCACGCCCTCCTGCGCCTGGGCGGCGTCCATGTCAACCACAGCCTTTTTACGCTGCTGTCGCTCCTGTTGCTCTCGGGCAGACTGCTCGCGTGCCTCCTGCAGACGGCGCTTCTTCTCCAGCTCCTCGCGCATCCGCACATTGTCGTTGTGCGCCGATTGGAAGGCATCCTTGAAAGTCTTGATGTCCGCAAAGAACTCCTCCATGGTGTACTTGCTGGGATCGAAGGCATAGTACTCGCTGAGGTCCTTGTATAGCTTCTCCATTTGCAGCTGCATTTTGCCTGGAATAGTAATTATTAGTTAGTTTACTGTTTCTAATTAGTCTTTCTTTGTTTTACCCAGCACATCCACTTGCTGTCTGCATTCCTCGGCAAACTTGCCCATCACCTCGCTAAACTTATCATCATCACACTGCGGCACCTTATTATTTTGCAAATCAGTTTCCAGATTCTTCACCGCCGAATTCATTTGTCTCATTGCCTTTTGGATAGCATCCATATTGACCCTGGACGCCTTATTCACATGCGACAGATCATCGTAGAAGTTGAGTGCATCTGGGAACTTCTTCTCCACAAGTTCAGCCAGATAATGCAGCAATGTCTGCTTATTATCCGTGTCTTTCGTGTTGGACAACTTGGTGAGATAGCTGATTTCAAAACCAAAGGCTGCCTCGTTCTTGGAGCCAGAGTTCATGTAGTTGCCGAGCAGGAGAATCAGTTCCAGGATCTTGGAGAACTTCTTGCTATTCCGCACCTCTTCGCAAGCTGCCGTTCCGGCCACAATATCGGGTTTTATATCCTGCACCATATCCGCATACGTTAGCTTGAAGTTCAGATTGTGAAGGCGCGGTGAAAGGCGTTTGATTTCTCCTGTAAATAAATCATATTAATATCTTGGCATAACTGTTATTGTTTTGAACTTACCTATTGTGGCAGCAAATTGTTCAATCGGTGGCAGCGGATCTCCCTTGGCCTTGATCTCCTGCAGACGCTTAAGTTGCTCTGGAGGCGGCAAATACTGAATGAGCTGCTGCAGAATGTTGGAGGACAGAATGGCGGTGTCGCAGCGCAGCAAGCAGATCTTGATCTGTTCGTACGACAGGTGCTTCAGCGATCCTCCCAACATGATGGCCAAATTCTGGGCAGTCTTCGAGTCCAATACAACCAGATCAACGTTCTTCTTGGTCAGCGTCGTTGGCTTGTCCACCGCATCCTTTTGCTCTTTTTTAACGGGCTTGGAGGAGAACTTTACGGCCAGCTCGGCGAGGAAATCATCCTGGGCCAACTTATCCTCTTGACACTTGACCCAGAACGCCTTGTCGGACATTTTGGCCGGGACAATGGCCTTCCAGTTGGCTCGCTTCATGGGATTCTTCACTTCCCACTTCTTCTTCGGTTTGAGGCCATGCGGGAGCACCGGAACCATCATCATGGGCGGCGGTGGAGGTCCGCCGGGGCGAATCATGCCGGGCATCGGCGGAGGCGGTGGGCCACCCATTCCAGGCATTGGCGGCGGTGGAGGCGCTCCTCCCGCCTTTCCGGGCATTGGTGGTGGCGGCGGAGGCGGTGGTCCACCACCAGCTCTGCCTGGCATTGGTGGTGGAGGCGGTGGAGGTGGTCCTCCTCCGCCTGGTGGGGGCGGCGGCATTGGTATGTTGACTTTGGGCAGCTTGTTGGGCGACGGAGCCGCCACACCATTAGCCTCCATCAGCTTGACCTTCTCCTCGAGATGAGCCGCCTTGGCCTCTGCCTCCTGCTTGGCGCTCTCCAACTGCTCGATCTTCTTCTCGTACTCCTCCGATCGCTTGGACTCCTTGGCCTTGGCCTTCTCCACAATGTCGTCGACCAGCAGTGAGGTGTCGATATTGAAGTTTCTGTTCTCAAAGTTCGGATCACAGTAGCCCTTGTGGAAGACAATCTGCGAGATGCACTCCTCAATCAGTTGGTAGTAGGCGGGTCGGAAGTAGAAGTCATCCCTGATGTACAGCAAATGCTGCAGGATGGAGAGGAAGTAGGGCTCGGAAGTGGTGTCAGTCACCAGGTTCTTCAGCACATCGAAGCACTCGGTGGCATCGTCCATATTGAAGGTGACATGATCGAAGCGCTGCACAAACTCATCGAAGTCATCCTCTCGAATCTCGTTGAAGATCTTGAAGTGCGCCTGCAGTGCCTCATTGTTGCTGGTCTCCACAATCTTGGTGAACTCATCCAGGCGCTCGTAGAGACCCATTCGCATGATTTCACAGCGCAAATGGAGGCGGAAGTTCAAATCCGTGGGTGTGTTTGTGAGAGTGTTGATGAAGATCAAGCTGTGGCAGGCCAACTCTCGCTTGGGATCCTGTTGATCCGATACGAAAAGGGCATCCACAATGGGTCGGAATCGTTCGCTGGCCTTGAAGGAGGTGGCTGCTATGGTGGTAATGGCTCGCAGGACCTTCTCGTAGCCATTGCGATCGTAGATGATGCAAAACGAGGCCAGGAGCTTGAGGGCCTCGCTCATTGTCTGCGGCTTGCGGGGATCCAGGGATTGGGCGAGGAGCAGCACCACACTGTGCTGATCCGGATTGAGCACCACATTCAGACCCCACGTATTGTTCATGATGGCCTTCAGGCAGCGAATCGCCTCGAACTCGATCTTGTCATAGTTGGCATCCTTTTTTGCCCGGGCCAGCAGCTTCTCGATCGTCCCAATTCCTGCCACACCGAATTCCTTGATCCATGAGATCGGATTGCTGGTGAGCGCAACGCGCAGAGATTCCACGCACTGGTACACCTTGTGGGTGCTGTGCTCCCCATTCTGCAGATACTCCACGTAGTCTATGGGCTTCTCGAACCGGGAATTGGCGCTGCGCTCCAGTGAGTTTTTACCTAGAAGAGATGGGAATGCGAATCGGATTAGTTAAGGTATTGGATTACAAAGAGGGAATGTACTAAATAATTATAAATTATACTTCAACAGCACAAACAAATAATTGTCCTATATTATAACACAACACCTATTTAAACAAATAATTACAATAGCGATTACATTTCAATTTGCGATCCAGCTCACGTTTGTGGTAATTTGTAGATAAAACCCTATCTTGTTCATTGCATCAAGGTTTTTGTTTTAAAGAAAGAGGTTTGCCCCCCGCTGGCAACACCCATGAGTTATTCATTTCAACGCTGATTCATTTCACCCTATCTTTAGACTAAGCAAACGACATACATTCGTATAGTGCTACATTGGCACTTTGATAAGAAAGTCATTAAATTAAACACATCTACCACTTAAGTTGTCTCAAATAACCTGACATTTAATCTCTAATCAATAATGAATAAACAAGATTTTAATTAAAATTAAATGAGGAAATTATATACAATAAATAAAAAGGTTGCATAAGTGACTCATTGTTGCTTATCTTGATTAAATATAAAAGTTGCTGCACAAGTTTATCTAAAAACATTACCCTTAGACTGCTAGATAAGGGTAGTTAAAAGGCAATTAATAAAACCAACCTTCACTGGGGACCTTCTTTAAAACCACGTACCCCTTTGTTTCATTACCTGCACCACTGACATCATTCAAATTGGCCAAAACCCCGCCCACACTTTATACGTTTACCCGTCAAAACCTAACTACGCTAACTGTTTTATTAATTAACTCAAAACGCCAAACGAAGCGTGTTAATGAACAGCTTTGTACGAGTATTTTTTGTTGTTGGTCAGTCCATTGTTTTTGTTTAAAATATAATTTCGCAACAGTTGGTTGAAGGGGAGGGTTCTGCCACAATAAACACGGCCCACAATGAAATATTGACTTCAGTTTCTCTTACGTTTCACTCGAAGTTATCTGCAGCCATAAGATACGTTTTAGCCGACACTTTACGTTTATTGACAAGCATCAGAATTTATTTTCAGCTTGATTTTGTCATAATGTGTTTAACGTTTTCGCATATTTGCATTTTATGGCCGTTCCAAAGTGTAAGGAAAATCACTCGTAAAGGTTGAGAGAGCTTTTTTGTTTGTCTCTTGTCTACTACACTGAAACTATAGACTTTATCGGTATATTTTTATTTCTAAATCAATTTAATGCTAATTTAATGTGGAAAAAGTAAAGTTTTCCAATCAAATACATATGTATTCATTTATGTTTTTATTAAAAAAAAGTATCAGTACCAAGTGTGCTTTAATATTTTAACGAATTTATTAAGTTCAATTTTAATTTTAATTAAATAATTAAAAATTTATCCATTATATAGTTAGTAAAATTGTTCTCTGTGCACATACATATGCCATCTACTAGTATACTTCCCTCTCACATTCGCAATGCACTTGCTTATACAAAAAGAACGAAGCGCTAAATAAAAAAAAATAATTTTCTCACTGCCACTTGACGTAATTTAAATTGTATAATATGCATAGTAAAGGAAATTTCAATGTCTTCGCATTCTCATTTTTTGCCGCTCGACTTTTGTCACGCATTCGTCGTATACTTGGTATTACTTGATAAAATGGGGGAGAAGATAGTCCGAGGTTGTGGCGCAATTAACCGTTACAAACGATAAGAGAAACTTTGATTCTACGCTTTTAAAGACTGATAATGGACCATGGGCCATGGGCCAATGGAGAACTTAACTGGAGCGGAACGCCAAGAATGAAGCTGAAAGCTGACTTAGCATTGAAATATGCTCAAGATATACATAGCTGGCGATGTGTTACAGTGATAATTACTCTGTGCGGTATAGTAGAGTACCACCAGTATTTCTAATGAGACTAAGAGACTGGAAGCACTTTAGATAAACAACATTACGAAATTTGGTCCAATTAACTATTCAAAACTTCGCTGAATTCTCAAGCAAACATTAACTGATGATAGCTAAGTGGCTCCCCTTCAGAATAAAGTTTTAGCCACTTAAGAACTTATTTATTCACTTATCTTAGAGATCGTTGACATCACTGCTATCAATAAGAATAATTGTCAACAAATTAAAAAAGCGACAACCCTCAAATAGCGGTATGCGATATAAACACAAATCAAGCCGAGCATGAGCGCAAAGCAAATTGGCAACAAGAAAAAAGCGGTAAGCAAACAGAAAGCGAAAATTTGCACCGATAAAGGTAAAGCACACAGATACACATACCGTTACCTGCTAATCTTATCAAAGATGGAATGCAATATAACCCGGGAATACGGCAAAAACAAAGACGTTTAAATAGTCACTCAGTTGCACGAAAATCGATTGTCTGCTGGTTCTTACACCCTTGCAGAGGGTTAATAATTTTTAGGTATATAACATCATTATAAAGGTGTATATTTAAGCTGCCTAGATTGGCTACTTATTTTTAAGACAATCTGCAAGGGTTTAATAACAACAACTTGGAAAATAACTTCTTTCAGCTCATTACATTACCTTTTAAATGCCACATAATCATCTTCTGGCGCTCCTCCTTCGATTTAGCCAAAAGGGGCTGCCGCTTATCCTTGGGTATATTCATATCCTCTATAATCTCCAGGAATTTTTCATCCAGCTCCGCAACGGACAGTTGCTGGATGTACTGCTCAAAGTCCTCCACGCCCGGCACCACATAGTTATCCGCTGATACGGGTCGTCCGCCATGGGTTAAGGTGCCACTGCTGATTGTTCCGCCTTTCGATTTCGAGGGCCTTCCAAACAGGCTGTCCAGGATTCCGCCCCCCGAAGATTTCGTTTTCTCGTGACGAGACATTCTGCAAGGAAAAAAAATACAAATTAAACTTATTTTAAGATTATTTTATAATATAAGCTAACCCCAGCTTTTTAAGACGCATTTCGGTGAAGAGCTAAACGGAAACTAAACAAAGACAATTTTCGAGACATGCGCACTTTTAATTATTTTTTGGGAGACACCTTGCACAGCTGTTTTTTGTTTACAGTTGCTGGAGAACTGAACAGACCGCGATTTCTGATGGTTTTCCAACGAATGCATCCACAATCGATGGATGGGAGGTGGTCGATCATTATCAGCTCTGGTTTATTTACAATTATCTGGGGTGCCTATAATGCCGATTCAGCCCCAACGGAGTGTGGAATTTTCAATTAACACGTTCGTAATGAAGAAGAGGAGGGGACATTACAGTAGATCCTCAAAATTGGAAAACTTAGAATAATTTTATAAATCGTTTTAAAAAATTACAAAAAAAAAATGCTAGAAATTTATTAACTAAAATGATTAGGTTTAAAAAAAAATTATAATAAATAATTAAACAAAAATCAAACAAGAAAATTTTCAAATTCAGACTTTACCAAACGACAGCGTAGCCACTGTTCTATTCAAAACAAACGAACCATGAAAACTGCTGATTAAAAGCATAAACAAAAAACTCAAATATAAACTAAGCAAATTTGACAAATTTATTAATAATGCGCACTAAATTTACAAAATGATGCGATAATCGCGGCAAGCCAAAATAGGAAATAGCTCAGAATTTGGAGAGCCACATAAATAGAGAAATAAACAAAAAGAGAGAGAACGGTTAAAATAAATGATTATTGAGTGATTCATTTGGCCTGGCTGAAATGCAGGCCGTTAGCATTTGAATTGGCTTCTATCGAAGGATGCGGTGGGAACACGCTTAAGCTTTTTGCGTTAGCGTTGGCCAACGCATCTAATGAATCACTAATGGAATCACAGCAGCTGGAGAGGAAAAAAACAGCAAAATAAAAAAGGCAAACGAGCAACAGGTTTTGGCCGATGGTTCTTGCCGGCTGCACAGAAGAAAAAAACTAAACGTTTAACCGGTTAATAAAATACAACGCCACAATGATTTAAATAATTCATATTTTTTCGGTAGAGTATAAATTTGGCCTGACTTACTTTTTTTTTTTATTAAAATTTAATATTACAAATTTCAAGGATACTTTTTTAAATGATTGAAATGGGCGTGCCAACCGTCGTGAAATCATTCACAATAGCCGGCTTGAGAAATCAAACTTATTATTTATTATGACTCCGCAAAAGGCCAATTGTGAATGAAGTGGTATGCGTGTGTGGGAAGAGGATAGAAGCGGAGGAGGTGGTAACAGAGGGAAAAGAGTGGAGCGACAAGTTCAAGCAGGGCAACAATTTCTTTTCAGGTCGCTAATACATAAGCATGTGCAGAGGAAATGCTTTCAACAAGATTTCTTTTGCCAAAGAATTTACAGCAATTGCCTCTTTCTCTATTTTGTTTACATGCACTGCATCCCTTTCTATTCCCTCTCCTCTCTCTTTCGCACTCCTTGTGCATTGGTGTGTACATGTGGCTGCAACTGCGAAAATGTAAACAAGTATAAAAACGTCTAATAACCGCTGGAATTCCAAGAAGCAAAGCGAGAATTGGTAAAAATGCGCTCACCTTCGTTTTGATATCTGTGTCGCCTGCTCACTTTTGATTTTTTTCGGTGGTTTACGTCATAAGACCAGAAAAATAATGGCTTGCCACACAGACACAGTTAAGCACACACACAACACTAACTCGCGATCAAACGGCTTTTGTTGTGGTTGTTGTTTTTGGTCCCTGGTTTTTGTTTGTTTTATTGCGCGACGCTGGCACAAAAAACAAGCTGCGCGCTATTCTTTGAACACTTTGTAGCCTGTCGGCTTTGGTTTTTCTTCCAGTGTATTTTATCGTACTTATTTTGTTGTTGTTGTTACTTTTCTTTTTTGCCACTTGTTGCTCTTCTGCCGCGGTTGAAACATGGAATACAATTAGTTTCAGCTCTTTTGGCAATTTCAACACTAGGTTATTCTGTTAATAATCACTTGGCATGCAGATCGCTGGCACTTCGCGGCCGTAAATCGCAAATAACAAAAATTTTTAAGACAAGCGTTTCGCTCAGCGCGTTGATCGGACTCAATGTGACCGTAGTAAGATCATTGAAATATACTACGTGGCTTAGTATTAATGGACTAAAACTTGCCTTCCATTTTGTACTGAGCACAGACTTATTAAAAACTTTGTCAAAATAGTTATTTGGTTTTGGTTTGGTTCAATATAAAAATTAATTCAGTGTTATCAACGTTAAATAGCTTTCAGTGGTCGAGATTGTCGAAAATTAAATCACTTAAATACTGTTATAAATTTAAAAAAGTTGGCAGCCCCATCTTTTTTATCAGCTGGAGTTCAACAAGACGACAACCCTATCAGCTACCTCTCGTAGATTTGTTAATTTTTGTTGGGAGTATTAAAATTACTCTGGATATGCGCAAAAATTAATTGAAATGCAACGTGACAGGAACTCATCCGGCTCTTACGCCCGCAAGGGCAACCGTCCACCAGGATTAAGGGGCAAGGAGATAGGCATGTACTACCGCAATCTCTCCCGGCAGCGAAGAGTACGCGACGCGGATGGGGACCCAAATAAGCCAGAAATTCGCTTGGGCTGTAATGTCAGCGTACCCGGCGGCGTTCTCTCCCGCGTCAAGGAACTCATGGAGAACTACAACCGAACACCGGCCAAGGAAAACTCCGATGTGGATGCGCAGTTCAAGCAACAATTTCGTCATCTTTTAAGTGTAAATTTTGAGGAGTTTGTGGCAGAGACCAAGGAGAAAAATGCGGGAGTGGACTACTCCAATCCCAAGCTGGATGAGAAACTACAGCAGGAGCTGGAAAACCGCCAGCAGGAGGAGAATGGCAGAAAACGGAACGCTGCGCGCCAAAAGCTACCCACCATGAAATACGCCGAGGAGATTGTCCAAGCGGTGCGTGACAACCAAGTAATTCTGATTGTTGGCAGCACCGGTTGTGGCAAAACCACACAAGTACCTCAAATCCTTCTGGACGATGCCATTTCCCGTGGCTGTGGATCGTCTTGTCGCATTGTTTGCACCCAACCGCGAAGGATTTCGGCCATAACCATTGCCGAGTGGGTTAGTTACGAGCGATGCGAGAGTTTGGGCAACTCGGTGGGCTATCAGATTCGCCTGGAGAGCAGGAAGCCGCGGGATAGAGCCTCCATCACATATTGTACCACTGGAGTTCTGCTGCAGCACCTCCAATCGGATCCCCTTATGCACAATCTGAGTGTCTTGATCCTGGATGAAATACACGAACGCAGCGTGGAAACCGATCTGTTAATGGGTCTTCTGAAGGTTATCCTGCCTCACCGACCCGAACTGAAGGTGATCCTTATGAGCGCCACTGTGCGTGAGCAGGATTTCTGCGACTACTTCAACAATTGTCCCATGTTTCGCATCGAAGGCGTAATGTTTCCGGTGACGATGCTTTACCTGGAGGATATTCTGGCCAAGACGAACTATGAGTTCCAAAAGTCCCGCGATCGCCGTCCGAAGCGGGATCGCCCTGAACGTCGGATGAAGCATGAGGCGATGATAGAACCATATCTACGGCGCATCAGAAACTCCTACGACAGTCGTGTGCTGGATAAGCTGCGTCTGCCGGAGTCCGAGGGATGCGAGGACATCGATTTTATAGCCGATCTAGTGTATTATATCTGTGAAAATGAACCAGACGGTGCCATTTTGGTCTTTCTACCGGGCTATGATAAAATATCGCAGCTCTACAACCTTCTGGATAAACCACAAACTCCAAAAGGTCAAAGATGGCGGAATCAATTGACAGTTTTTCCATTACATTCCCTGATGCAGTCGGCGGAGCAACAGGCAGTCTTCCGACGTCCCCCCTCTGGCCAACGGAAGGTCATTATATCCACTATAATCGCAGAGACCTCAGTGACCATCGAAGATGTGGTATATGTGATTAATTCTGGCCGCACTAAGGCCACCAGTTATGACATTGAAACAAATATACAGTCCTTGGAGGAGGTCTGGGTGACCAAGGCAAACACGCAGCAGCGGAAGGGCAGAGCCGGTCGAGTCAGGCCGGGAATTTGCTATAATCTTTTTACTCGCGCCAGGGAAGATCTAATGGCCGAAATTCCTACTCCAGAGATACTGCGCTCCAAACTGGAATCTATTATTTTAAGCCTGAAGCTGCTGCACATCGACAATCCGTATCGCTTTCTGCAAACCTTAATTAATGCACCCAATCCCGATGCAATAAAGCTTGGAGTGGACCTTCTAATGCGGTAAGCTTACTACTTTTAATCCATAGTTTTCGTTTCTTAAAGTAATACTTCATTTTTTTTAATCAGCATTGAAGCTCTAGACAAAACTGGCACCCTCACTCCATTGGGCATGCACTTGGCAAAGCTGCCCATCGATCCGCAAATGGGCAAAATGATCTTAATGTCCGCTCTCTTCTGTTGCCTGGATCCCATTACTTCGGCGGCGGCAGCGTTGTCATTCAAGTCACCATTTTATGTGCCATTAGGACAGGAGACTCGGGTGGACGAGATTAAGCGGAGGATGGCCCGCAATATGCGCAGTGACCACTTGTTGGTGCACAACACGATTAATGCTTACCGGGATGCTCGCCATGCGCATGCGGAACGTGACTTCTGCTACGAGCATTTCCTGAGCTCCATGACACTGCAGCAACTGGAAAGGATGAAGAACCAGTTCAGTGAACTGCTATTCAACTACAAGTAAAATTATTAAGCGTTTAGCTAAACAAAATAATCATGTCTCGATGTGTTCTAGGTTCCTATCTTCTTCAAACTGCAAGGATTCTAGCTCAAATATGAATTCAGAAAAGATTCCCCTGCTGAGAGCTATAATTGGAGCGGGTCTTTATCCCAACATGGCTCATTTAAGGTAAATATTGAAAACCAACAAAAGTTTGGAGATATATACTGTTTTCCTGCAGAAAATCGCGACAGATCAAAAACCGAGTGCGTGCCATTCACACGATGGCAACAGATGATGGTCGCCGGTGTAACTTCCATCCCTCCTCCGTGAACTGCGGCCAAAGTGGCTTTGATTCGGCATACTTTGTGTACTTTCAAAGGCAGAAGTCCTCTGATCTCTTTCTGCTTGACTCCACAATGGTATTCCCCATGGCCCTGATTATTTTTGGCGATGGCGTAGAAGCGGGAGTTACTCAAAACCAGACGTATTTAAGCGTGGCTAAGACTTATTAGTAAGCTAACAATCTTTCCTTTTAATTTAGTACCTAACAAATGATTTTCTTTAGCTTTAAATGCGGTCCAGAGACCGCCGATGTTGTCCTAGAGCTACGCAGCAATCTCGAGAAATTGCTGCTTAAAAAGGCTCTATATCCAGCGCCCATTGAAGAGGATGGCTATGAGAAGCAATTAATCAAGTACGTTCTTTTATAATATAATTTCTTTACATTAAAGTTACATTTTTCTAACCCCACAGAGCCATTGAGTTGCTTCTTTCGCTGGACGAAAGTCTGGGCGAGGATTATATTTCCTCTGACGACATCGACAACATTTAAAGCTGCCTCATGAGCTTTATTATTATTTATTATTTAGCTCACAAAAGATAATTCTTTTAGCAAAACATTGTATATGTTAATAATAAATTATAAGTGCAAGCTAGTGATGCAATAACAACATTTCTTGGTAAAATGCTCATTCCTAGTCGTCCTCCAACAGAGCAAACACGTTGCGTGATTTGGGCGGATCCTCTTCGATGGCGCACTCGTCCTCGTCGGCATTGGTTTCGTCATTGGAGCTGTCCTCGTCTTCGTCTTCGCTGTCTGCAGCTAAAGGTGGTAATTTTTAAATCGTGTTAAGAGTTTTATTTGTTAAAATACTCACTATCCGAGCAGACGGAAGAGGTATCACCGTTGGTCTCGCTTTCTGGCTCATCTAGCTCAACCTGCTGGTACTTTTTGACCTCTGCCACATCGGGATGTTGGAGCCAGTGTTCACGTCGCTCCTCGAAGCCCGGCGGATAAAACTGCAGCACCAACAGCTGCTGTCCAGCCAGGCACATGCGAAGGATGTGATTGGCGGCCCGATAGCGATCCGGTCTGGCCGCTTTGGCGGTGAGGAATCCTCGCTTAAATGCCCAGGCATCGGATATAGCCACCGCAGACCACTCGTCATAATCTTCGGGCAGATGGAGCCTCAAAAGCTGCGGTAGATTTAAATGCTCGCCGAGGAACTTCAAGGAGCGGTAGGGAACAGCCAGCTGGGAGATCGGAAAACTGCCCAGAAGAACTTGCAGGCTTTTGGGAGTACTCGAGGGAAAGACTAGACCGGGACAATCGCACAGGCGAACGAGTGGCGTGAGGAAAATGGTTTGAAAGTGCTTGGTGTGTCCGGGTGTGCGACTCACGCTGACCACTTTGCGACCCTTTAACGCGTTGATTAGCGACGATTTTCCGACATTGGGGAAGCCAACGCAGCCAATAGTTAGGACGCCACCATGATACTTGACGTGCTCGTGGGGCGTGGTGTCAATGCTGCTGCTGATCTTGAGTTCGCCTTCCACGGCAGTTGTCAGGTCATCTAAAATGTCCAGCTGATCGCTTCGCATGTCCTCGCGTATCTTCTGCTCCCAGGCAGTAAGATCCACCTCGCCCTGCACGAAGCGCTGACACTCCTTGTAAATGTTGTACACGCCTTCCATGCTCCTGCGATGCGCTTGCTGTCCCCGCTGGTTTCCTTTCCGGGATCGCGGCAGATACGATGCAAAGAGCACCACCGGCAGCTGAGGATAGCGATCGCGGAAATACTGTCGCCAGGCCACAACTACATGTGGCTCCACCAGATCCACCTTGTTGAACACCACAATAGCGTGCTTCTTCAGAGTATTGATGATGTAGTCATAGAGGGAAGGTGGGAACATTAGCGTGGCATAGCGCACATCCACAATTATGAGCAGAATGTCCGAGAACTCCAGGACGCGCCACAGTTGACGCCAGGTTTCCAGATTCAGCTCAAACAAAGAGAGCTCCTTGGAGTCGCCGGCACGCTGCTTCTTTTGTAGCTCATCAACATATTCCTGGGGAATAATAAAATGTTTACATAAAACTGCTGATATCGTACATAAGTCATTAAAGAGCTATCACAAAACTGAATTAGGTTTAAAATATAAATTACAACTCGATACCAAATGCAAAACTTAGCAAACCTGCCAACTTTTTATCCAGTAGATGACCTGACCTACCTTAAAGTATCGATTTTCGCTACGATCGAGCTGCTCTTTTGAGTTTTCCGGCGTCCAAGGGGGACGCACTGGAAAGTCGCAGCCGGCAAAGTAGTGCTCGTCCACCTCGCGCTCCTTGGGATTCAGAACTTCCAGGGGCTTGAAGCCCTCCTGCTTCATCTGCTCGAGTTCCTTTTTTCCCTCCTGATAGAACTGCAGATTATAACGATTCACGTTCTTGTTTCGATTTCCACCGCGTGCAAACGGCTGCTCCATGAGTTTTCTCGTCGTTTCGGGCACATCGCTGTCTTCGTATGATTCCTGGGTGCTTCTCAAATATTTTGGTGGACCTGCCGGCGTAACATTGTTAGTCATCAGTTCGGGTTTCCTTTCTTTCCGCCCCTTTCTTGTTCACAGGTGGCCAATGTTTTCTCACCTTTTGTGTTGCGCTTCTGGAGCATCTGGTCCTTCTTCTTCTTGCCGCTAAAGGCCACCTTGCGCCGTTGCTGTGGCATTGTTTTTGGGTCGAATCCTGGTCGTACTTCCGGTCAATTTGGATTTGTCTAGAGCTCCACAATTGTATGTAAGTAGCAGTAATTGTGATTGAATGTTGTTGCGGCTTTTCCCTTTTGCGAATTAAAAGTTTTTGACAAGTTGGCAACGCCGTAAGTTTAAAAAGGGTTGTCGAGCTTCTTAAAGCTTAATACCTGATTCACAACCATAAATAATTAAAATAAATTCCAATTTGGTAAATGATTTAGTTTATACTTCCTGCCAATGCTTTTCTTTTTTGGTTTTTTTTTTTTTGAAAATGTTCAGAACAGAAGCTGTTCTGAAAAAATGGTCCGATTGACGGGCGCTTAACTATCTTTTTTCGCTAATTCCGGGGCAGTTGACTTTTGAGGTTTTTTCCAATTAAAAAACGTTACAATAAAACGATTAGGGAAAGGTTATGCATGCTTTACGAGTTAACGATTTTTTTCTTTAAGATACATAATATAGTGTTTCCTAAAAAGTTTATGTCCGTTTAGTTACATATCATGTTTTTGTATAGTTTTCTCGGAATAAGTAATAAAATCACCGCAAGTTGGCAGCCCCGTTGCAATGGTGTTCAAAGTGCATTTAATTTTCTTATTACTTTTCAACTAGAAATCCCTGTAAAAATGCCGCTAAAAGGCATAAAGGTATTGGAATTTGTGGGCCTAGCTCCAGGACCATTGTGTGGCAAGATCCTTACCGATTTTGGCGCTACCGTCACTCGCATTGATAAGGTAAACAAAGGGGGGTAACTTGCATCAACAAAAACTAAATCCTTTTTTAATGTAGATTCTTGACAATCCTCTTGACGTACTGCAGCAGGGAAAAAGCACAATAAGCGTGGACTTAAAGAACCCAAAGGGCCAGCAATTGGTGCTAAGGTTGGCAAACAAGTGCGATGTACTTATCGAACCCTTTCGACCAGGAGTTATGGAGAAACTTAATTTGGGCCCCAACGAGCTTCGTAAACAGAATCCGCGTCTTATTTACGCCCGTCTTACGGGATTTGGTCAGCACGGGAGATTGGCGCCACGGGCGGGCCATGATATCAACTATGTGGCCATATCGGGTGTACTTTCTATGTTGGGCAGGCGACAGGAAAAGGTCACAGCACCTATAAATCTGCTGGCGGACTTCGCTGGCGGCAGTGTAATGTGCGCTCTGGGCATTTGCCTCGCGCTCTTGGAGCGCCACAATTCCGGAAGAGGTCAAGTGGTGGATGCCTCAATGGTGGAGGGAGCTGCCTATGTGGCCAGTTGGCTGTTTATGTCCCGAAATCTGAACATCTGGGGTCAAGAGCGGGGAGACAACATCCTTGATGGTGGTTCATATTTTTACGATACGTACGAGACCAAGGACGGCCTCTACATTTCCGTGGGCGCCTTGGAACCGCAGTTCTTTGAGCTGCTTAAACAGCGCTTGGAACTTCCCGAAGATCTCTGCCAATTTGGCGAAGAACATCAGGATCGCGGAAAGAGACTATTAACGGAAGTCTTTCTATCCAAAACTCAATCGGAATGGTCAAAGATTTTCGAGGACGTGGATGCCTGTGTATATCCCGTGCTGGACTACCGGGAAGTCCATAAGCACGATCACAATAAGGAAAGGGAATCCTTTGAGCTGCTCGAGGGTGTGACTGCTCCACGTCCAGCTCCACTTTTAAGTCGAACTCCAGGGAAATTGCCCAAGAAAAGTGATAAGCAGCACAATTTGATTGAAGAACTGGAGCTGAAACCCCAGGAACTGAAGGATTTATTGGATTCAGGAGTACTTACGCTTCCAGAAAAGGCTAAGCTGTAGGATTCAATTGGAAGTACCGCCATAAATAAAACTCTTTTTTGTTGCTCTTGCATTCAAAATTCTTTTATTCTCGCTCTTGCACACAGACACATTTTACATTTGCTAAAATTTCGCGTACAAACTATCAGTCATACAATTTGTTTCGGAACAGTTAGGCCGCACTTTGATATTCAGAGGGGGATTTGGATAATAATAATTTGATAATACAGCATACTATAATAACGTAACATAATTGATTTTCTCCTATCGCAAAACGTGGGTCAAATGTTCTCTCGCTCTCTCTCTCTCTCGCATCACTACTTACTGACTAAATTAGGATTAACTAGCATACCGAGTAGCACATATACTAGATTTAATTCGGCTAAAGCACCGCGCGTCAGCGTCTCCAATTGTCTGTGTATATTTAAGATAATCCATTATAATGCTCATACGTATGTACGTGGGTGTTATGCGTGGTTAAATGTAATGTGGATGTAAATTTCACTAGTTGGCGTTTTGGTGTGTAGTATTGTTCTAGTGTACGTTGTCTTTAGTCCCGCGTAAAGTAATCCTTGTGAGTCCTTAAGTAAGTTGTAGGTTGTGTAGTTGTTTGTTGGTATGTATATATAGTAAGTCTCAGTTCTCAGTATAAAATCAGTACCATATGTTACGTTCTCAATTTGTTTTTAGTTCACACCTGCAATTGTGCATTTCATTGTAATCCTTTTAAACGCTTACAAAAAAATATCATTTCTCTGCTGCGCGGGGTGCTTTTTCATTACATCAAATATATATCATATATACTCTCATACACAATAATCTCTCATACAGCACACTCCATACAGATGATCGAATCACAGGCAAAGTTACAGTTGCGTTTTTAGTTTATTTATTTTTTAACTTAGATCAGACGACGACCACTTGCACACAGGGCAAAGGTTAAAAGGCAAGCCCATTGAAAACCCTTTTGATTACACAGTGGAGTGTCCAAAGTGGATCTCCACCGTGCTTTTTTATTGGAGCTTGCTTTTCAACCGATTACCATTATATTATACTGCCTTACTCTAGTGACATGAACTCATTTCTTAACAGCTAGATGTAACAAAATCAATAGTGCATCAATTTTTAATGTTTTTTTTCTTCGTTTTTGGAATGGTAACATACAAAGTTTCTCAGTCACAGTATCACGCACTCCTACTGTTTATAAAAATGGGAAATGTAAGTATGTATAAAAGGTAGAAATTTGTGCTAAATGATTTGAGTGTCTTGTATTAGTTTGCTGGTGATTTCTTCTAAATATTACTCCTCTCATCTTCAGTCACTCTCATAAACAACCATTGTCAATCATCACATAATTCATCATCATCATCATTCAATGCACAAGTGTCATCATCATAATAATCAGCACCAAGCTTCATACTCAATCACACCTGTGAAAAAGAAGGTTGAGAAATGTGATTATTAGCAGTTGTTACGATGTACCATTTTGATTCTTCTAAATAATCTAACTTATATCGGTAGAGTGAATTAAAAAATTCTAGGCATCACTTACATTTTGCATACCACAGCCATAAACGTTCATGTTCCTTTAGGCGTTGCTCAGCTTCGATCTTCCAAGGATTCAGAGTCACTCATCTCTTTCAATCGCATCTGATCATTCATATCTAATATTAGTGTTAATCTAATTAAATTTGGCAATTTCGTTTCTATTTAAGCGCTGCAAGCAAGTTGCCATTTCAAAATTTCGATATGTTCAAATCTGATAAACAATAATTCTTTCTTTAATCGTTCTTATTTTTCGTGGACGGCTGTGCGATATTTTATTGCAAAACGAAACAAATATTACCAATGAAATTTTTTCTTTTTTGAAATGACAACTTGCTGAGCCAATGAATTCACTGAAAAAAGTTTAAAAACATTATTTAAGCTTAGTTTGACGAATTCTGTGTTATAATTTAGACATTTTTTGTAGTGTTCGTATTATATGTGAGCTTATATCTAAAGCAGTTCACAATAGTTCACTTCATTCACTTGTGTGTTTAAATGTTGTGAAAAGATTTTAAACGGTTAGTTCTTCATTTTTATCCTCTATTTACTTTTAATCGTTCACAGTCGCGTCTTTTTCGTAAGGTAGTTTCTGGTTATGTTTTTTGTATGGTTTGCATTTGATAAAATAACTAAATGAAGTATGAGTCGTTGTTTTGTCCTATCAAGCTGTCATGTGTCTTTATGCGCGTTCTACATTTCTATAATTATCATTTTTAGGAGAACCAGAAAAATCTTTGGCAATTCAGTGAAACAATTTTTTAAATAAAACCTTTTTTCCAATTTGAAAACACATAAAACAACTAAAGATTTTTCCGATACCCCTGCGTTTTCTTTTGTTTTTTTTTTTTTTTGTATACCCTGGTCCGTTGCGTATTTAGTTTTAGTATCTTGCGTTTATCTAATATATATATTAATTATACATGTGTTGTGTGTGCTGCAGGTAGTTGCTTGGTTGTTGTTTTGCTGTTTCATTCTCATACCCTTGCAGAGGGGTACTACATCATAGATCGGACTACTTTATGATATATATAGCTGCCATCGGACTAATAATAAGAAAATTTCGGTTTAACTTCTAACTGCAAGGGTATATCAGCCTCGGATCGCCGAAGCTAGCTGCCCTTTATGTTTTTTTCATTTCTTTTCTCCCTATTTCAGTTTGAACAAAAATAAAATAATGTGAGAGGCAAATAAAGCGTCGTTGATTGGAATAGTGAGAGCACACTACACTTAATTGTTGTACAAAAAAGTAGAATAATTTCATAATTTCGTGCTTTCGTGGGCTTTCGGCGTGGCTGGCTTTAATATTTGATATCCATTTGTATAGATTTTGAATATTGCTATTTGCTTCGATGGTTTGCTTTGTAATTCATGTGTTTTTGGAGCTGGTTCTTAAGACAACCACGCCTGCGCCTTTGTACGTCCCTAAGTCATTTCGTATTTCGTATTTAGTTGCTAGGTTGGTTTTTCAGTCGTCTTTGAGTGGTTTACATTAAGTTTCGTTTCGTTTGTTTGTAAATTTAAATTCAAATCCGTTTAAAATCTTTTTGATTTGTTGTTTTGTTTTGCTTACGTCTAAAATCATTCGTTTCGTTTCACTAGAAAAGTTCTTACGCTTAATTCATAATATCACACAACACGCCGATACACACGCGCGCCAAAGAAAAAGGAAATATTCATCCATTTCCATTCATTTTTCATTTTCGTGGGGTTTGTCGCAATCACAAAATACCATTTGTAGAGTTTCTCTCAAGCATTCATCATCACAGCATAACTATAGGCATCATAGGGGTAAAAGGTGTCGGACGACAGTCACGCAAACTTATAGATAATACATACTCGCTCTCAGCCATATGTTTCATTCCATCACATTCAGTTCACACTCAATGCATTCATTCTTATTTTGTATATTTTTTTTTTTTTTTTTTTTTTTGTTGGGCTAGTGAGGATTGTTGGATAGATACATTAGTTCTTACAACTAAAAGTGTGTGGTTCTTACAGCCGCTACAAGTTAATGTTTCCGAAAAGGTGTACTGCATTTAATATGTTTTACTCGTTGAAGCGCATTTTTTTTCTACCGATTTTTACAAATCAAACTAAATTTCACAAATTTGTATAACAGCTTTGTTAGCTTTTTGGTAATGCTTAAAATCGGGCTACTTAATCGCCGGATTCCTGGAGCAATCACAAAAACTAGGCTGCCCTTAAAGCCAAATGGTTTAAAAATGTCATTCAATCAAGAGCTACAAATATAGCAATATTGAATTTTAGTCAATGGGCAGCCTATTTTTTGGTCTTGCTATTCCGAGCGAGGACAATGGATGAGGGATAAATAAACTCACACGAAGATTAACAGGCCTTAATTAAATTATAATGTCGAAACAGAGGTTCGGTTTGAGCTTACAGCTAGTGGGGTTTAATAAACAATTTGTCTTAGCATTTACACGTTGCACAGCAACAATAGATCGGACAAACAAACTTAGCAGATAGAATCTTTTTATCAGAGAATTCGGACTGGACTGCAAAAATAGAGAAATGTGGGAGAAATAAAAATTAAAACATGAATCCATAGCAATCAATGATAGGAAGGATCGATTTTTGAAGATTTGGTTATTAAACACATTTCATTTTACGTTGAATTCACTAATTTGGGAATCAAAACAACAAAATACTTTCGCCAAAAATCGACACATCCTAATTCGCCATTCATTCGCTAATGAAATGCAAAGTAAGAACCGTGTATACTTACCAGTTTGGCTCCATAACATACAATCTTGAGGGTCTGGTGGGGTAGCAGGGAAACATTAACCTCTAGCAGGCGATCTACTGCGTGATGACCTGGCTATTAATCTTCTTGATCTCCTTGGCGGCCCAGGTGCAGAGCATCTTGGTGCGCTGGCCCTTGGAGCGCTTGCCCTCGGAAAGGAAGTGAGTAATGATGGCATCGTCCAGAAGCGGGTACAGGCGCGGACCGAAGGAGGTGCACAGATCGCCAATGAAGCCGGCGGCACTGGCCATCATCGAGTCAGAGACATCGCCCTCCTGAGCAATGCGCTTGATGAAGGTAATGATGTGCATCAGATGGGGCTCCATGTGCATCACGTCGGGATGAGCCGTCTGGTCGACGCCCTTGAGGCCCTGGATAATACCAGTGTAGGCCTCCAGAACACTTTCGCGCAGCTCGTTGACGTACTCGTTCATTTCGTAGTTGTTGGCGTCCGGCTGCAGAGTGGTCGCGGCTCGCAACATCTCCAAAACCACGCTCAGATATTTCAGGAAGTGGTTGCCAATGCTCAATGCTATATCCCCAAAGGCCGAAAGGATCTGCGGCTTGACGCTGCGATGCAAAGTCGGTTCGGAAAGGTTGTTCATCAAGACGGACATTATCTCGTCGGAGTAGGGCACCATTTGGTCCTTCAATGCGCGGAATATGTCGCCGGTGAGACCGACCGAAGCGCAGCACACCTGGTACTCCTGGTGATTCTTCAGACCCATGACGAGGCAGTCCTTAAAGGCTGGCATATACTTGGCAAACTGCCCACCCAAAAGTTCCACCAGTGTAGAAACAGCCAGGAAGGCATCCTCCTGCACACCACCCGACTTTCCGGCACTCGAACTGAACATGGTCAGGAGGGCGGTCATGATGGCATCGGAAATCTGCGGGGCATCCTGCTCGTGGACCTTTCTCAAAACACTTTGCAGAGTGGCGCACAGGAGCGATTGCAGATCGTTGAACTGATGCCGGTCGCTGTGGTTGTTGATCTGCGTCTCCATCTGCATCACCTGATGCAAACGCTCCAGAATCACCAGCGTGGTGCGCTGCACCACTAGATAGCAATCCAGCGGCGAGTTCTTGATCATATCCATGAGTGCCTCATAAGCAGCTCCCCGCAAATTGGCCTGAGCTCCATCCGATCGATCGGTGGTCTCCAGCAACTGGTTGATAATGTACTCGAAGTACGGAGACAGAGCATAGGTCTCCGGGGTCTCGCCCTCGGTGGTGACCGCTGCTTCGTATGCAGCATCTGAGAGACCAATGAAGGCCCAGCATACATTGGCTGCCACACGCGGCTCCGACTTTAAGCTCTTCACGAAGCATTCCAACAGAGTCTGGAGATACGTCTTGTTGATGGCAGCCTCGGGAATGATCTGCAGGGTAACAAATGGTTGAAATATGTAAAATCAATATTACCTTGTTTAAATGGTAGTCATTGTATAAATTTAAAGGAAATCTACTCACATCGCAGATGCGTCCGAAAGTCCAGGCAGTGGTGTCGCGCACAATAACACTGGTGTCGTACATCAACTTGATCAAAGTGGGCATAGCCTGCTCCACGAGCGGCTTCAGTGTGTTGGTCTCCAACCCATTGAGCACAGAACCAAAAGTCATCACTGCAGCGTCGCGGAATCGCCAATTGGGCGAGTCGATGTTCTCCTTTATGAAGGGCAGCACATGCGGCACGATTTCATCCTCGCAGCAGGTGGCCAGCACCATCAGGCAGACGGAAGAGGCCTTCGCCGGACTCCAGGTGTCCTCGTCATCGCACTCGTCCTGCTTGGTCAGCTTCTCGACGAGAACGGGCGTAAGGAATTGCAGGGCACCGCGGGCGTAGTGTTTGGATACCCGTTGCGGAGCTCTGCCCTGATCCGTGGCCTCCTGGCTCTCGATGGCCAGATCGATCTCCTCGTCGCAAACGTTCGACCAAAACTCAATTCCCTGCAGGGCGACCGCATCGTTGTCGGACTTCATGGCCGCCAAAGTGATGGGGAAAAGGGCCTGCGCCATGTAGGGTTCCATGAACTGGTAGTAAAGGGTCATCACCTTCACCAGACACTGAAGCGCGGCTACGCAGATTTGCGAGTCCTGGCTCTGAGTGGCCTCGCACACCACCTCCATGATGAAGTTGCGCTCCATGTCCTTTTCGAAGTTCGACTTGGTGAACTCCAGCGAATTGTGGAGTGCCGTTGTGGCCGCCAAACGAACATGGTTGCTCGGCTCCAGCTTTCTCATGCCGTGTATAATGGCAGTAAGAACGTCGTTCGACTGGTTCTCCAGCACGCCGAAACGAATGTCCTGGCAGATGTAGCCAATCGCTTCTAGAGCCGCCTCACGATGCATTTCGCTGGAACCCTCGCTGACCACCTTGTTCACCAGTGTCTGGATAAGCATGGCCCATCGGTTCATTGGCAGCTCAATCACCGCCACATAGGCCACGCACTGGGCGGCACAAGAAGGACGAGTGTTCTCAGTACCCAAAGCGGCAAGGATCTGCAAGGGTATAAAGGTTATGAAGTAAATCATTTCTGTAATGTAACTACCTAACTCACGTTATTCTTAATCAACTCGCGGATCTCGCTGGAAAACTGGTGCCAGCGCTCCTGGTACTGTTGGCTGATTTTCTCGTCCTTGCTGGTCAGGTGATTCTTTAGCTGGAGACCGGCTGCCATTCTTGCCACTGCACTGTTTGTCGTGTTCACCAGGATCTCCGACAGCGCCTTAAGGAATTCGGGCAGATTGGAGGCCGCGGCCTGCTCCAGAAAGTTCTTAGCAGAAAGCAGTTCATTTTTGTCTGCAAATTGTATTATAAATAAGTATATAGTTAAAGTCAGGAATTAAAAAGGTTAACAAATTATGAAAAATGTATTTCTTTTAAGTGTGTGTCGTTAAGGGAAAAATTTTTCGTTAGGGGATATAATAAAAATGATTAGTTCTTTCTTCCGGTCTCAACATATTTTTATCTTCGAGCTCAACAGAAAGTTTGAAGACATACTTTATCGGCAACCGGAAGAACTTGTCGTTAAACATACGACAATTCAAAAACGACGCCTCATTGATCCCTACAGTTTGTGAGGTTATGTAGGGGTTGAGGTTTATAAATCCTTAATTGTAGGAGCGCATTTATACGTGCGAATACATATGGACACGCTGCCACGGGGGAGGGAGTACATGTACAATTGTACATGTGTGCGAAGGCCCCTAGCAACCAAACATATGCGAATGACTATTGCAACCCTGCGCAACATATAACGCGCGTCCCTCCCGCCAACCAAAGAAAATGAAAACCTCGAGACCCCTGGGAAAAAAGGCCTTTAAAGCCATATAAAACAAAACTCACCTGGCGACACCGTCTTCTCCAAAATGGCAATCAATTGCATGGTTATATCGGAAGTCATTTTAGCGCTTTTTTTTTCCTTCTCTATATAATTTACTTTCGGTTTCTTTCTGCAGATCGTGCGTCTGTATGTGTGAGTAATGGAATTTTTGCGTAATTACTAGACAGTACTAGTCTATTGGCTGTGGGGAGGTTCAAAATAGTAATCAAAGTTAAATATAGTACTGCTATAGATGTGCGAATTTCTTTTGACAGGTTGCAACACCTTGAACGTCACAAGAATTGATTTTTTTTCGCACACACAGACATACACAATAAAACTCGATATTCTACTCACGTTTTCTGGCTGTTGTTGCTATCTCCTCGGGAGCGGTAAAAAAGCGGGATGTCGAACTGTTATTAACTTAGTTATATTTATTATAAGCCTTTTTAAAGCTCACGCAATTTCTTTTTTCCGCTTTTTCGGGGGAGGGCAATTTCTTGTGGCTGCGAGCAGCGTGACCGTGGCGCGAAATGATACCAACAATTGCAGAGTATTCCAAAATATACCGCAATAAGCTTAAGAAAACGACAAAGGTAACGCTTCCTTCTTAACTAGTCGTTGGATTTAAACTTGTTTTTTTTTTTTTTTTTTTTTTTTTAAGGAAAACCTAACAAATGAACGTTAAACAACGAAAAAGATCAACATACTAAATTTATTGAGTTCATTCTCTTGGGTATACATGTTGTAACAAAATGTTTTAAATGTAAAAGTATTCAAGTCAGCTTTTAATGCGTATTTAGATATAAGAGTTAAAATATTTAATACAGATAATACAATACAGACAAAATATATTGCTACATTTCTTGAAATCTTTATGTTTTATAAAATTTTATATTCTTGTGGGTACACATCTTTTAATAAAATACAAATGGACAATATTCAAGTCAGCTTTTTATGCGTATTTAGACAAATGAGTTTCAATATTTATAACTGACAATACAATAACAACCAAATATTTTGCGTAATTTCTAGACACTTTTATGTTTTAATAGAATTCTACAAATTTAATAAATGTTAGGAATACAAAGTAAAATTCGTAATATTTTCTTGGTATTTTGTGGTGTTCAGCCCTGATTGAGTATTGCCACGATTTTATAAACTAGTTGGCAGCTCGCTTATCTGGACTAGGTGGCAACTCTGTCACTGCTGACGTTCGGCAAAAAAAGAGGAAACGTAGTAAAAACACTCCAGAAATTCGGAATATTTAGATTAATAATCCCCAAATACGTTTTCTGCGATTCCCGACGATCCGGAGAGTGAGGGAGTTTGTCGGTGACATCGCCACGTTGAAGATACAACCCAAGAAAAACGAGGGTGACCAACCTGCAACTCCTGGCGTTCGTTGGCCGTAAATTCAAGATGATCCTGCTCTCCGGACTTTTGCCACTGTTGGGCGTCGTCCTGCTGCAATTGGCGTCCCCAACAGAGGCTTTCTACCTTCCCGGCTTGGCGCCGGTTAATTTCTGCAAGAAAACCGATGTCTCGTCCACATGCAAGGTATGTGTAAATGTACATACTCATGTATGTATGTGTACATAAGTTAGTGGGTGTGTTTGCACTACGTCCGCAACAATTAGCAATGCCTTTGGATATGGTAGTGAAAAATAGTGATATGTTCCTCTAATGGTGGTCAGGAGCGGAAGCGCTGATAAGGCCAGTCACTAGCTCTAAGTTTTCCTATGCGGGGTCCATATCGCAACTTCTGCTGACGTTGGCTGCGTTGGCTAGACACGCTGCTACAAGAAAACTGGAAATTCTAATGTTGGCTCAGCTGGATCTAAAATGCAGGTTAAATTCTTGGGCTTAAAGTCTGTTCTTTTACCACTGACGTAGAACCAACCAAGACAAATTTACTTATTGAATTATTGCAAATAAGAATGATTTTGCCGGTGTATGACGCAAAATTGATAAGCATGAATAGTATCTTAGGCATTTTAATCACACTTGATAGTGATTATCCTAATCACTTTTGATATCAGATACCTTTACCTACCTAACATAAACTATAGAAGAATACCATCGATACTGTTTAATTGTAAAACATTTTTCCAGGAAGTCGATAAGGCTAAAAGTCATATCGTTTTATGCACCATTTAATTAACGTTCATTTGCTGATAACAATAAATTGAGGTGTTTCAATTTTAATTAATTTTAAACTATCAAAAAGAGTTTGAAGATAAGATGAATTTTATCGAAAACATAGGCAAGGTACGACTGCTAAAAAATATATATTGGTAATGACTGTTTTCTTTTACAAAATAGTACAACTATTTTGGTGTCTCTAAAAATAATATTGATAAGATAACAGGATAACCTAAATTTTCCAAGAATTACCAAACCAACCGATCAATCTGATTCCTGATTATCTATTCTAGTCGGAAATTCTACTGTATGTGAACCGCTTAAACACCGAAGAGTCCGAAATCCCCTATGAGTACCATCACTTTGACTTTTGCTTGGGCGAAGAGTCCAACTCTCCGGTGGAGAATCTGGGACAAGTGGTGTTCGGTGAGCGAATTCGTCCAGGACCCTATAAAATCCAATTCCTGGAGAATCAACAATGTGCGAAAGTAAGTTGCTGTTTATTCGTCTGTCCAATATAGGAATTTACCCACTTATCGTATTTCTTTTTTGTTTAGGCCTGTGTTAAGAACTACAAGGGTGACGATCCAGTTAGCAACCGCCGCATGATGGTCTTGAAGAAGGGAATCAGCTTAAACTACCAGCACCACTGGATTGTCGACAACATGCCGGTCACTTGGTGCTATCCGCTGGAGAATGGCAAGCAATACTGCGGAACTGGATTCCCCATGGGTTGCCTGGTTCGCAACGATGGCGAGGGATGTCCCATTAACTCTATCTACAACCAACCCATGCATTATTACCCCTTCAATCATGTGGACTTGGAGATCACGTATCACAGTGGACAATCGGAGGACTGGGGAATTCAATTTGGCAACAGCGGACGCATTATATCCGTTAAAGTTACTCCAAAATCGATTAAGCACTTGGATCCTGAAAACCTGAACTGCTTGAGCACCGAGCCTCTGGCAATCAGTGAGACATCCCTGAAGGCTGGAGAGCAGCTCAATATCGTGTACACCTATAGTGTGAAATTTGTGAAGAATGACGCCATCAAATGGTCTTCACGTTGGGATTACATTCTGGAATCCATGCCACACACAAACATCCAATGGTTCTCCATTCTCAACTCCCTGGTGATCGTTCTCTTCTTGAGTGGCATGGTGGCCATGATTATGCTGCGCACCCTGCACAAGGATATTGCCCGCTATAACCAGATGGACAGCGGCGAAGATGCCCAGGAGGAGTTTGGCTGGAAGCTGGTCCATGGCGATGTGTTCAGACCGCCACGCAAAGGCATGCTGCTGTCCGTTTTCCTGGGTTCTGGTGCTCAGGTGCTGGTGATGTCCATGATCACCTTGGCATTCGCCTGTTTGGGATTCCTCTCGCCCGCCAATCGGGGAGCTCTGATGACCTGCTCCATGGTCTTGTTTGTGTCGTTGGGCACGCCAGCTGGTTATGTGTCTGCGCGAATTTACAAGAGTTTCGGTGGCCTGAAGTGGAAGAGCAATGTTATTCTCACCTCGATCGTTTGCCCAGGGTGAGTTTTGATCTTAAATAATCCTCTTGAATTTAATTTTATCATACTAAATATTTTCATTTGTTTGCAGTGTGGTCTTCTCTTTGTTCTTCGTAATGAATCTGGTTCTGTGGGGCGAAAGTAGCTCGGGAGCTGTGCCATTTAGCACGTTGATTGCCCTACTTGCCTTGTGGTTTGGCGTCTCAGTGCCACTGACCTTTGTTGGCGCCTACTTCGGGTTCCGCAAGCGCGTGAGTTTATTAGTTACTAATGCAAGTTAAGTAAAATAAAATTGAACACCCATTTTCAGGCCCTGGAGCACCCGGTGCGCACCAACCAGATTCCCCGACAGATTCCCGACCAATCGATCTACACACAACCGATTCCCGGCATCGTTATGGGCGGCGTTTTGCCCTTCGGCTGTATTTTCATCCAGCTTTTCTTCATCTTGAGCTCTCTGTGGTCCAGCCAGATGTACTACATGTTCGGCTTCCTGTTCCTGGTCTTTGTCATCCTGGTGATCACGTGCTCGGAGACAACCATTCTGCTGTGCTACTTCCACTTGTGTGCAGAGGATTATCACTGGTGGTGGCGCTCCTTCTTGACGTCCGGTTTCACTGCTGTCTATCTGTTCATCTACTGCTGCCATTACTTTGTGACGAAGCTCTCGATCAAGGACAGTGCCTCGACGTTCCTGTATTTCGGCTACACGGCCATCATGGTATTCCTGTTCTTCTTGCTGACCGGCACCATCGGGTTCTTCGCGTGCTTCTGGTTCATACGCAAGATCTACAGCGTGGTCAAGGTGGATTAAGCAGCAAAAATTCAAGAATAAGGAGCTCGTGCGAATGTATTTTTGTATGTGTAGCCACAAATTTACACTTAAGCCTAATGTGTGTGTGATTTCTGCGCTGTGCGCCCGGCACAGACAGTTTTCTGTTTATTATAATTACGATTGATATGTGTACAATAACATATATTTGTATCAGGCAAGAACCGTGGAGTAACGAAGCGCGCAATAATCTTTAAGCAGTAAGCAGCTGATGAGTTGGAGGAGATAAAGTGATTCGAAGCATCTTTTGTATAGTTCACCGTTCTGTTAATCTTTAGGCGTAAAGTTTAGCAGTGTCCATTTCCCAGCTCTAGCAACGATTCCAAAAACGAAAATAAAAGGAAAAGAAAAGAAAAGAAACTAAAAGTCCCATTAAAAGTACTGAGCCGCAAAAACGAAGTACTTTAAAGCCTATTCTCTACTTGTAATATCAAAGCCTAACAACTGTAATTAGTGGCTCGTCTTAGCCGTAATTCGAGCAGGATTGAATTCACGTGTAATATTTTAAATACTTTAGTTTAAACTATTTAAATCTAACTTGCGACTAAAGAATAAACAAAACTATAAATTATGAACCCATTTTTGTTTTCTATCATCAGAACTAGATCTTTTTTTTCAACCCTAGCTAGAATGACAGTTGTCAGATACTTTCTATGGCTTCCGCTAGCTGGTGAAACCAGGCAGTGCGAATAAACATTTCCAGCCCAGAGTGTTTCTAGCGGCGCATCCATGTCAGATATTGTGGACAGCGATGGGGATGAATACGATGAACTTTCGGAGCTGCGACAACGCCAGAAACCCGAATCCCAGCCCTCAGTGGATGTGAGTAGCTTTGAGATTGAGTCCTTGATCTAAACTAGAACTTATCTGCTGTTTTTAGGAGGCCTTCGATTTGGACGACCTGCTGCCCACAATTGGCGAGTTTGGCAAGTACCAGAAGCTCTTGGTTTTTGGCATTTGCCTGCCCGCCTGCATTCCGTGTGGGTTTTGTGCCTTTAACCAGTTGTTTATGGCTGATACTCCGGATGACTATTGGTGCCGCATCCCGGAGCTGCTCGACCTGCCGTTGGACCAGAGAAAATCGCTGGCCATACCCAAGGAACTGGTGAGTAACTGCAGACGAATAGCAGCCATACGAGTGCAATCAAGTCAGCCCATTGATTGTGCGTCGTCTAAGGTGAAGGGTCGATACGAGGGTGGTTCGATGATTACTCATCGAGGGGGCAAGGGAAAATAAACAGATGTCTTATTGATTTTAGTTTACAACTCAAGGAATATCTCTATTTTAACAATGTTTCTTTTAAGGATAATGATGAACTGGTCTACAGCAAGTGTTATACCTACGGAGTCAATTGGACGGAAATACTTGAGTCTGGGGAAGATGTTGACTTGACCACCATGGAACCAAACAGCAGTTGGCCTTTGGTCAAGTGCAGCCAGGGATGGGAGTACAACACGACCAACGTTTGGTCCTCCATTGTGATCGATGTGCGCAGTCCCAGAACATAAAGCCTTCATATCCAACAAACATAAACCTTCATCTAGGAGAAGCTTGAATCATTTCCCAAGCATAAAGTACTCTCTTCCAAAATATTACTTAAACAGTAACTTAATACCCCGTATTTAGTTTGATTTAGTGTGCGATCAGGATATATATCCCACGATTGGCTTGGCTGCTCTTAATACTGGCGGTCCTGTGGGTGTTTATCTATTTGGATTACTGAATGATCGTGCTGGAAGAAGGCTTTCCTACTTCATTTGCTTGGCCACTTTGCTGGCTGGAAGTTTGGTAACCTCGCTCAGCAAGGATTTCTGGACTTGGGCAGGCAGTCGTGTCATTGTGGGATTAACCATTCCAGCTGTCTATCAGATACCCTTTATTATATGTGAGTTCCTCAATTACTTATTACCTTTTAGTTGCATTTATTATTTATTTTACATTTTCAGCTCTGGAACTGGTTGGTGAAAATTATCGTTCCTTTGTGACAGTAATGACCTGCACTTTCTACACTTCGGGCATAATGCTCCTGTCTGGAGTAACTTATCTGGAAAGAGATTGGGTTCGTCTCTCCTATATCACCTCCCTGCCATTTTACGCGTACTTTCTGTACATGTTCGTAATGCCGGAGTCACCGAGATGGCTTTTAATGCGCGGTCGTTTGGAGGAAGCTCTCAAGATTCTGGAGCGCATGGCCAAGGTGAACGGCAAACAATTTCCGGAGGCAGTGCATCTCAAGTTGGAGGCTCAAATTCGAAGGGATAAACTCAAGAAGCAGAAGAAAAAGATAGCCAATGTGGGGCTAATGGATCTCTGTCGTACTCCCAATATGCGTTTGAAGACCATATTGATCACTCTAAGTTGGTTTGCCAATGAGACGGTTTATCTGGGTCTCAGTTACTATGGCCCTTCGCTGGGCACCAATCAGTATGTTAGCTTCTTTTTGTCGGCCGTTGTGGAGTTGCCAAGTTACTTGTGCTGCTGGTATTTCATGGACACCTGGGGCAGAAGGTGGCCCTTGAGTTTGTCCATGATTTTGGGGTAAGTAAAATAGCTTTTATTATTTATAATTTATAAACTAATCTTTTATTTAGTGGCGTTGCTTGTGTGATAACCGTAATGCTTCCCGATGATGCCGTGGATGAGACTTTAGTTCTGTATTTGATATCCAAAGCTCTCCTTTCCGCGTCCTTTTTGATCATTTATCCCTTCGCCGGAGAACTATATCCCACACAAGTTCGTGGCATTGGCATTGGTGCTTCCAGTTATATAGGAGGATTGGGTCTCATTGTCATACCATTTGTGACCTACTTGGGTAAGGACAATCTCAAGCTGCCGTTGGTCATCATGGGCTTTGTTTCGATGCTGGGCGGGATGACTGGACTGCGATTGCCGGAGACACTGCATCATCGATTGCCGCAAACTATTGAGGAGGGCGAGGAGTTCGGCAAGAATTGGCAACTTAAGGATTGTTGTCGTTGTGCTCAGAAGCCGTGAGTCTAAAATAGAAACTTAATATTAATAATAATAAATAAAGAATTTTAAATATTTATTATTAACCCCTCAGTGATGTTTTATCCCAACCTGCATCGTACGAAAATCTGGATGTTCTGGCTGGCTCATCAACCAATGCTTCTGAGGTGGAACTGGAACTAAAAGACAGTCGAAGGGTAAGGGAGCCAACTCCTCGGATTGATGAGCGCACACCTCTGGATTCGACATCCGGTGGAAGTGTTCGACCAGTTCATCGACCTTCGATGAAGCGCTTGGTGCGCCAGATGAGCATCATGGATACCCAAAGGACCCATGATGGCACCATGCAATTGACACATTGGATTTAGGTTTTAAGACAGAAGATCAGTTTTGAATTAGTCATGTTAATATGCTAATATTTTTTGTTTTATTATAGGGAAATTATATACTCAAACATTTTGATTGAAATAACTATAACACTTAGTATATAGTTTTAAAAAATTAAAAAAGCGCAATCAAGCACAATGTAAGCAATTGCCATTGAGTGTGTATAATATGTAATGAAATAAATATGTTTATAACATACATAATAAATTATTGTTTTTATTAAACCTTTTTCCGCAATTAAAAAATGTTCCTTAATTTATTTTTACTTTGTGCAAATAGGTACTCCGATTCCCGCGTTATTAGCAACTTTGTTTTCCTTTTCCTTAATTGTAGGGCAATATTAGTATTTCTAAGTTGTTGACTTCAACAATAAACAATGCGAATTGAAAAAGGTAAACAAAAACCGAAACTTAATTCTGCAAACATATCCGGTAAAAATAAATAAATAAATAAGTATGTGTAGCATTTGGCGACTTCTCAATCACAGCAATTGATTTATGCATTTATTCAGGCAATTATGCAATTAATTGTTGTCAAACAAAAAGAAAACTTGTTTATACGGTGAATAATAGAGGAATGCGCAAAATTGCCCGCAGCTGTCGGCCGCAAACTATTGGCGGTCACTGTCAATCGTAGGAAGTTCCTGGACCCATGGGAATTATTTTATACAGTACTCCAATTGGGTAAGAAATATATGAACTAGAGGAAATCATTTGAAACCAAAACATGGTATCTTAATAAATTTTTAAATATATAATTTGCAAACACAAATAAATCTCTTATGTTTGAATCTAAAAATTAGACTAAAAATGTCTCCCATCAAAAAAATGTCAAAAATGTATTAAACAAAATTTCCGTACAAGTAAAACAAGTTACAATATGCCGAAACAAAAAACGCAATCGAGATTGGTGAAGACTGCTGCTCCTGTTCGCGTCCTTCGTCCTGTGAATCCTCGTAAATCAGCTACTCCACCGACTCCTTCGTACAGGACGTGCATTATGGACATGCCGGAGGACATCATCCGATTGCTTTATGATCATCTGCCTTTATTGGCGGATAAAGTTATGCTCGCCTGTGTGGAACCGAAATTTAGATCGGTTTTTGAAGGTTGGTCTAAAAATCGACGCATTATCCTGGAAATGGAAAGCCTGGAGACGATGCCACTACCTCAACTGATCAGATTCTTCAAGGTTGCGGGACCTTTTATTAAAGTCCTTCAAGTTGACTGCGCTTCCTTCCAAAAGGAATCACTTCTTGTGGAGTTCGTATCGGAATTCTGTCCGGGATTGGAGGAGATCAACTACAGCAATGCCACCGATGAGTTTCACTATCGCACAATCATGTCCAAAATGACGCACCTGAAAAAGGTGACTATTGATTGTTTGGACGCAGAGGATGTGCTAAATTTTGATTTGCAATCAAATCAGGAACTGGAATCTTTTGAGTTGGTCAATGGATGCTATACAGGTAATTGTAAAGTTCTTACAAATAATAAATATATTTTAATATTTATTTTATGTTTCTCTAAAAGGCAAAAATCTCTGCGGCTTTCCCAATCTCAAAAACTTGGTACTTCGGGACTGCCTTTTATGGAACTCTGGAGAATTTGGAATACCCCTGAAGTCTTTGATAACATTGGACCTTGATGACTGCTGTTTCGAGGTAATGAACCAAACCCTATATCAAAAGATAGCCGACAGTTGTACGGAGTTAGTGGAGCTTCACTTTTCCGGTTGCGATACCAATTTCGAGGTGATCGCCCATTTGCCAAAACTTGAACGATGCACTTTAAAAACCTGGATGACCTCCAATGAACTGAACATTGGGTTTCTCACCGTTCTGGCCGAGAATCACGGCAAGAATCTGACCCATCTCCATTTATCCGGACAGTTTCAGATCACCAATGAGCATGCGAGGTGCCTGGGTCAATTGAGTAGCCTCAAGGATCTGCGGTTTAGCCACAACGATGTCCTGGAGGATGATCACTTTAAGTTCTTCAACGATCTCAGTCAGCTGGAAAAATTTGGTCTTACTTGGTGCGGTCGCGTAATGGACATCGGAATGATGAGGATGGTGCGAAAGTGCCTGCTGTTGAGAGTTATCGATCTAAGCGATTGCGAGGAAATCACCGATGAGTTTGTGATCAACGCCATTGGATTTTGCTCCAAGGGACCGGGTCGGAAGTTGGAAATCAATGTGAAGAGAACTAAGATCAGGCAGGATATCCTAACGGTGAGTTGAAAATGAGAAAAGATATTTGCAGAGTATGTTCTTATAATATTATATTTTTTAGAATTCGGATTATCTGGATCCTTCAAATCACGTTAAAGTTAATTTTACTTAACGGAAGGTTTTCGAACGGAAAGAACTACAATTCAAACAAATAGGTGATTATTTAATAGTACCTCTATTATTTTTAGGGTAACTTTGTTAAGCAGTTTGGAAGCTGTTTAGCAAAAATGGAATATTGCTCCTTTTTGAAAGAACGTGAAATAAAAAAGATTGTAAAAATATAAAAAAGCTGCAGGAAACAAATTTCATTAAATTAAAATCCTAAAAACTTTTTAAACAGTTTAAGAAATTTTCCATGATTATTTATTTAAAACACATAAGGAAGAGTTTCAGAGGCTTCTGTGTGGGAGTGCTTTCAATTGAATTCCTTTCCAAAAGAGGATGCCCTTGGAGCCCAGAAATTTTAGACAATGGGATCCTCACTGGACTGAGTCATGGGTAAGTCAGCCATAAGGAAGTGGACGCTGGACGATCAATATTTATGATCATGCTCACAATGCTCCATTAGCACGCCGATAATTGCGGACAAGCGTGTGTGTCGCTGCACTTTGGGCCTTTGGCTGTAATAACAAATGGAAACAGGCCCGCCAAACGGTGAACAAACAAACCAACAAAAAAAAAAACCGAAATCAAACAATACGATATTCGATACAGTTCTGAATCCGCGATTCAATTCGATTCGAACGATCGATCGCTGGCAATAAATTTCGCAGTCAATTGCTGCTCTATTGGAACTGAACTTTGTTGCTTGTGGCCGATGATGTCTGTGTTAGCAGCAGGAAGCTGGCGACCCGTTCCAATCAGCGACCAGTTGCTTACACTTGGGAAATACAGATTACATTAACTTATTTTCTGAATTAAAACAAAAAGATTTGATTAGCACCAAGCTAAAACAAATTGTAGAAGCTTGAAAAACAGTTTTTGTTCACAGACAATTAACAAAAGAAGAAAATCGTTTCAGAAAAATAACTATTGGTTCTTAAAGTTTTTTATAGATTTGTTCCTTGGTTTATTAAAATAACTCCATCCCTTTTTATCGCAGTGCAGATCATAGATCGAACTCACCTGTGGCCAGTCCAATGGTTAGTCATCGATACGTTTTGTTTTGTGTTTCAGACTGACCTCGAGTGGCTCCTTAAATGGCTGTCGGCTGCAATCGCTTTGACTCTCCAATCTCGGGGGGGCTAAGAAGGGGATTCTAAGGGGATTCTAGGGGGTCAGAGGCACCCCGACAAATGCCTTGACATGTTCAGGTGTCTGCCATGCTCAACTAGCTGACTAATTAGCGTACTTTAACTAGACCAACTCGTTGACATTTGGCCATAAATCGGCAAGGCATCTTCTGCTCATCGGGAGGAGAGTTCGCATGAGTAGAGTAAATTAAGCAGGGATTTTCGTTGTACCTTCCCCCTTCGCTTTTTTTTTTTCTTAGGTTTTTTTTTTAAGATACTATACTCTAAGCGTGTCCAATCACGCCTGTGAATTATTTAAAAATCTCTGCTGGGCTGTCTTATTTCATAAGAGAGACAAGCCTTAAAATTGTTACCCTGATGCCATAGAAATTCGTGTTGTCGTTGTCGTTCGATGATGTTGTTGCTGCTGTTTTTATTGTTGTTGTTGTTTTGGGGGCCTTGCGATTATGGGAAATGGCTTTTGCTATCGCTTAGCACACCTCTCGACGGATGAACTTTTGCTATCGCCTAACGCCTGGGAAGAACCCCAAAAGGGGCGGAATCTGCTGATTTTCGTTTAAATGGAGTTTGCCGAAGTAAAAGGTTTTTTTCCTGGGAACAATAAACTAAATATGTTAGCTTAATAATACAGGTTTTTGTTTTATTTTAAAAGAAACGTAAAAGAGACACAGAATGAGGCATCCAGAGCTTGTACTTTAAGAAAATTCACTCGGATTTCAGGATAGTGGAATAATGACCCGCAGCAGGAACTCCAGAACCCATAACTTTAATTTTTCAAAGTGGCATACCTCTAAACGTTTGTAATTGCGTCCTAAAACAAACTGCATTCAAAATTTTCAATTTCTAGGGGGTCGAAATTTTGACCCCTATTCATGTCAGATTTTTTCTAGTTTCCTATGAAATGCATATAGGTGACCCCAAGCAGGACAACCAGAACCCATAACTTCGACAATTTTTGTCCGATTTCAACAAACTGCTTTCAAAATTTTTAGTCTCCAGGTGGTCGAAATTTTGACCCCTGTTCATGTCAGATTTGTCCAAGTTTCCCATAAAATCCGGAGAGGTGACCCCAAGCTGGGCAACCAGAACCCAAAACTTCGACAGTTTGTTTTCGATTTCAAAGTGGCATTCCTCTACTTATTTGCAATTGTAATTTTTAACGAACTTCACTTTAAATTTTAATTTTGGTCAGTCAGGTTTCATAGATTTTTTACCACCCGTTGGACTGCTGAAGTGTGAAGCCAACCAGTGAAGCCCGTTAAAAGTTTACCAATTAGTCTCCCCTCTGGTGGCTTTCAAGCAATCTTAACATGTTAACAAATCTCTTAATTTCTATTGTTTTTGTGAAACATTTATTACCCTCCTTGAAATAAAATTTTATGAGACACCCACAGTCATGCGGAGAACGACCCACTTTGTTTTGGATCCGCAAATTATTTTGCGGCACGCCACATGCTGCAACACCAGCAACAGCCACAAAAAAAAACCAACCAAGACTTGCCAACATTAATTTAATATTGAAATTACAATATTTTCGTTTTTCTTTTTGTTTTTTTGGGCAGATCCGAATTCATTTGATTCTACGGAGATGTTTTCATGCACGATTCGGGGACTTGTGGATCATGTTTCAAGCAATGTTGCTGATGATGATGATGATGATGCAAAAGTTAATTTGCGAGTGCACACTCCTTGTTCTTTGGCTCCTCGGCAGATGCAGATGAACTTTTTGGGCAGAAGCGAGTGATTGGCACATTAGCAACAAATTGTTAGTACATCTTATTTAAGCCGTTTAATTAATTTCGCGCATTCTGACTACCCGAAAAATTCGACGAAAAATACAATAAAACAAATCAAAGGGAGTTGTTGGTTTCAAGCGTGCTAACTTGCAAATGCTCTACCAATAAGTTCAAATTAGAAATAAAGTTTAACTAATTAAGCAATTCTGCACAAAAAATAATAATCGTTAATGATGTTTAACTACATTTTAAATACAACAAAGAAATGTGCGAAAATATATTTTGGTATTTATTTATTTAATTTATTTAAATTAGCTTTGGACTGGCAAACTTTATGTAGGGGTATGTCCCGCATCAAAATTCGAAGGAACAGAAGACCAAATTGCGGGAAAACAATCAGCCAAGCACGAAGCAAGTAAGTAAGCCCGACTTTGAGCATCTCTGGGCCAACATCTCTGGCCAATTGCCGGTCGAAGACGTGCCTAGGCTTGTCAAGGTGCCCCGACTTCGTCTGGCTCTCTGGCTCTATGGCAATTCCCCGGATCGGATCTCCTCCTCCATCTTATGGCAATGGGTAAATAGTATGGAGTATAGAGTATGTTGTGGGCACACATAGAAGCCACCTTCAATTTGACAAAAGCCGCTGGCAGACAACGCGATTGCATGTTGCCTTTCAATTGCGGCTGACCAAGTTCTCAGTCCTGTTCTGCACTATCAATTGATACAAATCTATGCAATTTTCGAATATAGAGACATAAAACATGGCCAACTATTGCCACACTGAATGTCAATAAATAATACAGTGGAGCCTCTCTACTGGCTGAGTACATATAAATATAACTAAATACATATAGACAGAACATATCGGCTTGCCTTAGCTTGAGACAGGTCGAGGTCACCTTTGAGCGCCGCAGGTGAGAAAATGGCCAACCGCCGTTGAGAGAGACCAAAAGATGCCACTTTGTTACCTACGAACATGCAACTGGTTGCCTGCCACTGCCGCAGACGAAGACACTGAGAAAAACAGAAGGATGTGAACATATGTAGAACAAAGTAAACATTTTATAAGATTTTTAGTGAATTTATGTTAGCCAAAATTTGATTTTATACAACTAAGATCTTTTCACAAGGTAAGCTTATAAGTGTTTTTAAATTGTGATGTATATCCATTTTTGATTTCAGTGTACCATCAGAGTCTTCCACTTTATAATAGACAATTAGAGTTGTCTGCAGTTGTAATTGGATATACACTTAGAATGTTTATGGTTTAAAGTATTGAAAAGGATTAATGCACATTTTCAACTTTATCTTATGATTGATTTGTTTAGATATATTTTATTTATTTCAATCGTTCCAAAGAATATGAGCATTTATTTATAATAATTTATAATGTTTTCATACCTTATTTAAATGCAAATTTCTGTTAGTGCCGCGACATCTTCTTCCATCTTAGGAGCTGGCAATTGGAGCTGCCTGTGGTTCTGTCTAGAACATCGTGTGCTCTTTATCACTGACAGATTGTACTGGCCATTTAATTTATGGCGATTTTCACATGCTGTACTCGGTGGAACACGGCTAAAATGCGCTGGTGGAGCGAAAAAAAAAGAAACTGTGACGGTATCGAATTGCCGCCGGCTGACGGGGCATTCGAGTTATTCAATCCATTCGGCTGGGCAACCTTTAGAACATCATCCATCTGCATAAATCAATTGTTGACTGCGGCTTACAAATGAGCCGAGGCGGATATCTGCTCCTATTGGGGTGCAAACAACTTCCCTAATGCCATTGCATGTCGACCGATTCAATGTCAGGTGAACCAAGATGGGGGTCTTCAGACATCTCATTAATCAGTTTCGAACACGGTTATTTAATTTGGTTTCACTTCTGATTTAAAACTTTTAGGAAATCTCTCGTTTATAAAGAATAATTCTTAAGCTCTTGATGGGTATACCTTTTTATAGTAAATTCTTTTGTTTAATTCTTTTAAAGAATTATTCTACAGTGGTCAAATTTATAGTATTCATGTGAAACAATAATATTTCTTTAACAATTTTTGATGCATATACCTTTATATAGTAATTCTATTGTTTAATTCAACTGAAGAATTATTCTGCACTGGAGGAATTTATAGTATTCATGTGAAACAACAATTTTTCTTCCAGCTGTTATTGTTTATCCTTTAATTTTCCCCTACTGCGTAGCTAAATTTTCTTTAATTTATACTTTACCTTTGTACTTGTTCCATTTTAAAAATATTCCATTGTTATTTTCAGCCATTTTCCCACTCAACTTAGCATGCAATTTATGTCACGCTGCATTTTTATGGTCACAGTGAAAGCTATTTTTACTGGGCGACAGGA